AATTAATTTTGTGCCTGACCCTGCTTGACTCAGGGCCTCACATGGCAAGGTTGGAATGACGGGCGGCTGCTGCGGGGAATAATTCATTAATCTTAGTATTGTCGATTCCGCATCGTCATAATCCGTCATGACTTGATACTGAGAGCAAGAAGTAGTTGTTCAGACTAAATTAAACGAAACTACAACTCTGGAGATGTCGTTGTTTCTGTTTGAAACGGGCCGTAAAGGTCTAGAATTTTAACGACCGATTTCTCCATTCCAGTAGGTAGTCTAAAGAGACACTTTATTTGGGGTTCACTCTGCAACGCGACTGGAACGTAAACTACCACGGGGACTACGGGACGTTGCGAGAGTTGACTCTTTTCTTTTTTCGACGTGGACAAAGGCTTTTTTTTTTTTTTTCCTTTTTGAACGGTTTATTTTAGTGCTGGAGCTTGGGTTCACGCGTGAACCTTTTAGTCAGGGGTAAAAGTGGTTGATTTCTGGTCCTTGCTCAAGCCTCCGCGGAAGGGATTGAGATCAGAGGCACTATCTTGAACCATCATCTTTCTCTATTTTGGCGCAATGGATGTAATGTTGCAGCACTGTCACCATAACCTACCATTGAATTGAGGATATTTGATTACTTTTAATGTCGGAAAATTCAATGATCTCGATTATGTTTCAGATGTACCTTGCTACTGCTACATCGTATATCTTTTTTCCCACTATTCATTGTTCACTTATTTGTTAAAAATTTGACCAGCTATCTAATAAAGTGATTGCCTTCTCTCAAAGCCATTGTCAGCTCGCAACAAAACTGGCCAAGCCGCAGGTGGACTCCTTTAATACAAGGGCAGGGGCCCCCTTGAAAGCGTCGAGGATCACCCTCCCAATCAGAGCCGCAATGGGCTATAGCACGCCTGATTCAGAACGGCCAAACAATTCACTGCAGGGTTTAATGTGCAAGGGTTGGTAAGTCTAACCGCTATAGACTGTCATGTAGCAATCGTGAAGGAGTCATCAGATAGATGGCCGGAGTATTTCTGCCATGTGCTGGGTCCCCTTTTGACTCCAGAAAAGACACAAATAAAACTTGTAAAAAAGAAAAGAAAAGAAAAAAAGATGGATATCTTTTGGAATGCAATGCAACAAAGAACAAAGTTCCACTTACAACCAGCAACAATTGCTCATTGTATGTACTTGTTTTAGTGAGTTTCCCACAAGTCATGGTCTGCTACGTTTCACAGTATGTATCCAATCCATCACTCTACATTTCGCTTGCATTTTGAGGTCCCCTAAAAGAGAAGGTCGCGTAACAACAAAAGTATAGCATGCGCGTGTGTCCTATATCAATTGCGTATGTAGTATGTATCGGCATCATGCAGGTACAATCTGGCCATCTCGAGTGGCCCGAACTCCGGAGATCCATTCTAAACCCTGGTCAAGGTACCAAGGTCATCATCAATCAAATCAGCTTCCCAGGTCTAACCGCCCAGAATCCAAGCACTGACCCAGTTATTTGAGGGATGACATGACACAGAACGAGCTTCAGATCACAAGACTCCGCATATATCGGCTTTGTTTGGGATCGCAATGAGAAACACAAGGCGCTTCGGGCTGAGATGGCTTGTATCATTACAGAAATCGAGACATTGGCAAAGACATTCCCGTCGCCCGTGAATGGTACGACAATGGCAATGTGCCTTTGTACACAGGTACTGCGTTCATACATGTCTGTGCACATACAAACACAACAGCCACTTGATAGATCAACTGTAAGCCACTGAAAGCGTCACATCCGGGGCAAATGCCAAGCTGCATATGCAAGAGAAAGGGTATTTTCAACAAACCTGACCATGCTCCCTTCTTTGCAATCCATCAAGTACGGGAATAATTTACTAGACAGGCAATAGTAACAGAGCAACATCTTCAACGCATACCTTTCTCCTCTTCCTTGCAGCTTTGCACTGAGACACATCCGCAGCGGTCGCCACGGAAGCATGTCTCGCAAGTAGTGAGGCACCAGAGAAACCACCAAATTCTTCCGTGTGGTCGGATTGTGACTGCACGGCAGGGCTTAGAATCTGGAGCGGGATCTGTGTTCCTGGATCTTTGTCATTGGTAAATGTACGATCCTCGCGTCAAGGGCTGCTATATGTGCCAAGACAATGTTCCAGATGGGCTTTTCGTCACGAAAAAGAGCACCCGAGGACGGAAATTGCAATTTTTTCCAGCGGTTGATAAGAGTTCCCGAAATACATGTGGGTAATAGTTTACCAGTAAAGAACCAAATCATCTTTGTGAGTATCTGCCATTAGTTGGTTCACGAAAGCTGTGACAATATCGTGGCTTAAATCCTAAAGGATGAGCTACATCGTAAGCTAAAGATAAAGTTCCTAAAGCTAAGAGACTAGGGACACTATAACTATTAATGGGTTAGATCTTGAGGATGAGGTTTAACTCTCGATCAACGATTGCAAATCCTCTCTTCATCTACAGATAGCCGACTCCCAACTTTACAATCAGATTAGACTCGACAAAGGCGGTGTGATGTGATACTCATATGTGATAAAGATAACGAGAGGACTTGATTCCAAGAACCACTGCCGTTGCATAAACAATATCTTCACATACTTGTTCGTGGAATTAATTATCCATGTTAATGCGTGTAGGACACATGTAACTTTGCCTATTATTCCGCCATCATGGGAAAACCAAACAACTGTGTCACGATAGAAATCCCCACCACGTTCTGTAACCTTATAGTTACACGCGGTTGATTTCGATCATCACGACTCCGCCCGCAAAAATGCACGAAATACTCCACGTTTCTTTCTCTACTAGCGCGCGAGTAGTGATTAACTATCACTCGCGTTAGTGAAAAAAATGTTCCCTTTTGTTAGTCCCTGAGCTCGGATGTTTTGAAGAACCCTTATTTCACGGCGGGCCTATCCGTTACAGGGTAAGGTTGAAGACAGATAGTAACTACATCGCGACTTGAGTTCCGTAAAAGCTTGGATAGTGTCGGAACGTGAACATGAGATGCTTGTTCTAGAATGGCGGTTCAGGATTGGATCGGTATGCCGATTCGACATCTTCGATCCTGAAGGATAGTCTCTCTGTGAACTATATCTAGATTCAATTCAACATCTAGTGTTTCACTATCCCGAAAGCCCGACAGGAAGCCTCGGGGTAGTTGACTATGTCTAGACTTATCCTAGTATCCGCTGGGCTTTAGGGTATCTTGCAAAAAAGTCGTACGATAAATCTTGGTTCCCCGTTTAGGAAGAGTATCATCCCTTATTCTGATACACTGACTAACACCTCACGTTCCCCGTAGACGTCAATGGTGATGGGTCTTGCGGGCGATATAGTTAGAAAGATTTGCCTTTGCAATGCATAAACCAGATATAATACCTCTTGAAGCCATAGATCCGGGCGGTAAACGTCGGATCACGAATTCCGATGTTATGATTTCGAGAGTTTCTTGTCGTCTGACGTCTTTTGAAACGAGCCACAATGATGATCGACTTGATGTATGATCGTCGCCCAACTCACAGCTGAACCAACCACATGGCACGTAGGTATTCGATATTCACGGCAAGTCGTCTGCCGATGCAGCATTCGCCGTAACTATCGTTGACAAGAATAACCTGAATCAGTTCTGCATGAAATACTAGTTCTCTCCAGATAGAGCAACTCCTACAGGAATCTGCTAGTGGCCTCGATACGAGTTTGACAAGTTCATTGCCAGCATCAAAACCCTATTCAGGTTAAACTTAGGCTATCGTCAACATGGTATTGTATCTACAATCCTGGCGAACGGAGGGTCTTATCACCCCTGAACATCAGCGAGTATTCAGGGGTCCGTAGTGCTTAAGCCGGTTTCAGGAGAGGCGGTAGAAGTGGTGATCGCCATGACAAGCCACTAAGTAAGATTATGACAATTCAAGACGGTCCCTGAGCTGATAAGTTCCTCGGCTCCGTGACAGCGGGATGTCAAAGATCAAAGCCGGCAGTGAGTCGGGAGAAGGGCCCACTAAACCCGAGCCTCGGGGCTCCGAGTCAGATGACCGGCGTCGGTGAGCCCAGGGTTTTTGTGATTCGAAGGTTCTGACCTTGGATGAACAAAATACTTTGGCCTTGGAATATGCCGCTGGGGTGTCATTGGTTAGATGTCGCATTGTGTTTTCAAGGCATTCTTCATGACCAAATTCCAAGCCCACCTCGCTTAAGCAAGGCCGTGGATAAAATTTCTTTGTTCTTTGACACAAAACAACGTTGCAAGTCTTGGACCAAGGTTCTACAACGTTTCTGCCAACGGCCAGCCCAACGAGACAAGCTTAGCCCTGCATCGCTTGAGTTTTTATCTTTTTTCTTTTCTTTTCCTTTTCTTTTCCTTTTCAGGGTCTAGGGGTCTAGAACACGGGTAGATGGGCCATCTCTCCTCAGCCCCTGCCCACTGACAAGCAAAAAGCTGGTTTCTTATTGTGGAATGACTGAGAGAGCGGGGGCTGACGTGCATTAGAGTTGCGCATGTGCGACGTCATGATCCTGTGACCAAACCAGTTGTAGTCTTTGTATGGATGCACTTTATACTTCCAAGGTGGAATAATTGTTAGTGGCTGTGAACTTGAATGACTGATGGCTGATGGCTGATGGCTGGTGGCTTAGACTTTGGGTATTGGTTGGGTATACAGGTCGGCTAGAACAAACCATGGAAGCTTAATGCCTCTCTTTCTTTCCTTCTTCAATCAATCACTCACATTTCAGTTTTTACTTAATATCATCGTTCCCGTTGACACACACCCGTTAACTGTCAACTTTCATCCACTCACTCTAACCCATCGTTACCTGCCCTGGGCACATACGGACGGCTACTGCTACTGTTACAGTTACCGCTACAGCGCATCACCCCCACAGTGATCATCAACTGATCGTTCCCCCATCCATCACCGTTTGGCTTCTTTGTTCATCGTATTGCGGGTAACTGCATTTCATCTATTTCAACTGCCAAAATGGGTATATATTTCTCCCTGTGCTGCGCTGCATCTTGCCGTGTATCCCGTATCGCAAAGTTAACTGTCACTGACGTCATCTAAACAGTCACCAAACCATACGAGAAGAAGCGACTTTACATTCAGCATCCAGAGGAGGACTACGCCCTTGTTAGTCATCGCGTAACCCGAATCGTGCCTCCACCACCAAGAGAGCCTTCTCCCCCTCCTCCGCCGCCTGTTATCTACAGGCCTCCACTGCCACCACCTCCTCCACCACAGTTTTACCCGCCTCCGCCTCCACCGGTTATCGAGGTGCCATGTTCGCCGCCTCCTCCACCACCACCGGTCGAAAAGCCCAAGCCCAAGCCCGTGCCTAAGCCATCGCCTCCTCCTGTAATTGAGGAGCCAAGACCTTGTTCTCCGCCCCCCGAGGAGCCTATCGAAGTCATCGCTGTCGATGTCGAGCCGCATCACAAGAAGAAGAAGAAGAAGCCCAAGTCTCGTTCTCGAAGCAGTCACAGCCACCACAGCCGCCACTCTTCGTATGACCACGATCGAGAGCGTGTCATCGAGCGCGAGAGATATGTTCCTGTTCCAGTGCCTGTTCAAGTCGAGCCGCGCTACGAGACCTTCCGCTATGTTGAGGGAACTCGACGTCAGCAATATTCCCCTCCATCACCACCTAGACGGATGATTGAGGATGATCGCATGCGACTTCGCATTACGGATCGTGAGCGTGAGTACTATCGATGATGAGGAATTCGAGAACTGGATTGAAACGGATTTATGAATCTGCGTTATGATTAATGACTTTGATTTCACATTAAGGCTGAATTTAGGTATCAGAAGGAGTGCTATTTGAGGAGTTGGGGCAGATTGAAATTCTTATATTATATTTTCAACAGATATTCGTATCTTTCATTTACAAATTACAATATACTACTTTATTTTCAGCTTTGTTTTATACGTCTTCTATATAAGTACTGCCTAGGGAACCAGGACAACATAGTAATGTCTTTTATGGCCTGCATCATTGGCTGCCAATAGACATTCCAGAATTGGGTACTTGGGAGCTTGATACTTGACCAGAAGTGATACTTCAGAATTTGAAGGTATGTGAAGTGTCAAGAAGTGGGCGAGACGAGCGTTGTTAAGCTCGATAGAATGAGGATCAAAAACGTGGAGGTTGAAGCTGTGACATCATTACTGGTAATGCCGTGCAGACAATACCTCATCGATTTGTTTTCATCGGCCGATTGAAATCGAGTTTAAACAAGTTCAAAAACTTCTAATCTCATAGACTCAATCCTTTCAAGTTTTAATCATCTCATAAACTATTGTTTTCTCAAAGGTCGTCGTCTGTCAACTCACCTGATTTGACAAACCCCACGTAAATCTCCAACCTCTATCTCAACATCAACCTCGCAATAACCTCTTTATTTCTGCCATGTCAGCTCAAGATTCCGGCCCTAAAATGTCTGCTGCTACAAAAGATGTCATCTCAAAGGTGCAGCGCATGATTCCGCCAATGCTGGACAAGTTTCACAAGGGTTTGTTTTGCTAGAAAACGCGCATCACAGACAATTCATGAGACTGATGCGATGAACAGGCCAGCTCGGTAGAGTCGCCGTCATCGGTGGAAGTGAGAATTACACAGGCGCACCATACTTTTCAGCCATGGCTAGTGCAAGACTCGGAGCTGATTTGGTACGGCTGTATTGAATGTGAATATCGATCCTGGGCTGACCACTCTAGTCCCATGTCATTTGCACGCCCGCAGCCGCAACTGTCATCAAGTCGTACTCACCGAACCTCATGGTCCACCCTCTGATGCGCCAAAGTGAAAACGCCAAGAAGGAAGATGAGCCTGCAGCCTGGAATGCGTCCAAGGAACACGAATCTAGCGCTGAACGCATCGCTTCTCAAATCAAGGACCTGCTTCCCCGACTCCACGTCCTTGTCATTGGACCTGGCCTGGGTCGTGATCCATTGATGCATGATACTGTTTCCCTTGTAATCCGTGCTGCTCGTGACCAAGGGCTTCCTCTAGTATTGGACGCCGATGCTCTGGCAATTGTTCACAAGCAACCTGAACTCATTAGTGGTTACAACGGCGCTGTCCTGACACCCAACGTTGTCGAGTTTGGCAAGCTGTGTGAGGCACTCAAGGTCAAGGTGGACGATGATGCACCCGAGACTGCTCGTGTGGAGGCTTTGGCCAAGACTCTCAAGGGCGTGACTGTCGTTCAGAAGGGCGCAAAGGACTACATCTCCAACGGCGAGACAACGTTGACGGTTGATCTCGAGGGTGGTAAGAAGAGAAGTGGCGGACAGGGAGATACCTTGACCGGATCCATTGCTACATTTCTTGGATGGAGGAACGCCTACATGGAGCGTCTTTGGGATGTGGGCAAGGACCCCATTGACGAGCACGAATTGGTCGGATTGGCAGCTTTCGGTGGCTCTGCTATCACAAGAGTAAGTATCTCTTTCCTTCCCCGAGATCATGAGTTCTTTATTCGAAATATTGAGACCTATTCTAACAACGCCCCTAGGAATGCTCTCGCTTAGCCTTCTCCAAGAAGGGCCGCAGTCTACAAGCGAGCGACTTGACCGACGAGGTGCACATTTCATTCCTTAACATCTTTGGTGAGGATAAAGAGGTAGATGAGTCAAAGCTATAGAGGCGTCTAGAGTTCATCTACGAGATTATAGATAATACGACACGAAATACACGAGCATCTTAAAGCCCCTACTTTATGTCAACTTATAAGCACCGTATGATAGGACTTATGACGATCAGGACTGTTCTTAATGGTCTAGTAATTTCGCCTTTTGTTTTTTGCCGGTAAGCGTAAATTTATATGAACAACGAGACAGTCTGACGATTTGAACAACACGATGATATTGTCAGATCAAACCAAGCAGGCATTCTAAAAGAAATGCCACGAAACATTGTCAGTTGCCTCAAAATAGTGGGTATGACACAACAGGACGAGGAGTATCATCTAGAGCCCATGAGCATTCTTAATGTCCGAGGGCTCCAAAACAATGCAGCACTCCAGGCGTTCCTATCCTGCTTGGACATGCTCTTGAAGACAAGCAGTTCGTGATGAAATAGGGCGTACTTTCGGAGGCTGCATAGTAGAACCCTCGCCTCATGGTATCAGAGAAGTTGACCGCTAGAAGCATAAGGGGCAAAATTAGTAGGCCAGTTTATGCTACTTGGGCCATACTTCTTAGGCTGTTTAATTTTGTACCCTAGAGCTTGGAGGCCATCTCTTCTGCTGCCCACTGGGCTCCTTTCTTGTTTCTCGGTTATCCCGGCCTTTTGATAGAGAACAAATGAATCGTATCTACATGGTCTGTCTATTAAGACTGGATTTACGATACTGTTACACCCACAGTCTCTAAAGATTTGATATTGCTTTATAGTTTTGTGAACATTTGACCAAGTATGGAAAGGGGCCCGTGGGACTGCATCTTGAACTGCCATCTAGCGGAATACGCTCTTCGGGCCCCGGAATCCAAGTAACCCACGGCTAGGATATGCGTGGGCAAAGGTCCCCGTCGTAGTGCATCATGCAGCTTGCAAGTCTCGCCTCAGTCACTTATGGATTCGCAAAGAATACGACAAAATGAGACGACACTGGCCTACTTGGTTACGTGTTGAGTTCAAGCATGCAAGACGGGAGTTCAGTAACGTACGATCACCGCGCCATGTTTCTTGAGGGAGTTGAAACAATGTAACCTTTCAAGGTGATGCCTCATTTTGGGTATAGTATTCTGTAGGTACCTAGTAGCTAATGCAATAACTCCCGACCATCAATTTGATATCTCCTTCACAATGACAAATGGTCAACCGTAACGAATCAACGGTAGCAAATACCAACTCCCATTCATTCTAGAGGCCTACTTCGTCCTTGGCACCGAAATCCCTGCCATGTTCCATTGCCACTCCCATTCCCACTTGTTGAGGCTCGGCCCAAAATTATGTAGCCATCACCAACATTGGTGTGTCCCATATCTCCCCTCCCAACTTGCCTTCGCTTTGTAGGCATCTTCGGCATTGCCGCCACTCTATTCACCACTCCGCGTATTTGCCAGTTGTTACACATGTATGGCATCACTGCGCTCATACACGGAATCCATAACGCCAGCAACCTCACAAAGTCCAAAAACTCCTCATGCTCGCTATTGTTGTGGTTTATCTTAATTCGAAATATCCTCTTCTGCCGAACTTTCGACGTCCTGTATCATATCAACCTTGATCACCCCCTATGCGTCCCATGGCGAATTCAATATGGCTTGCATGTTTTTTGTTCGGTTTCGCATTTGCCTAAAATAACCCAGCTCAAAAAAGACTTGCTTGCAAAACACATAAAAAGTATTAAATTCCAGCCATGTGTTTAGCGAGAGATCTCCTTCAAGGGAAATTGGCTGGATATGTTAACCATATTAGGAACAACATTGCGTAGTGCATTCGACAGATGCAAGGGATCAGACAGCTTATCAAGATCGTCGTACAGTTGTGGTAAAGTAGGCGGGTCGTCATTGTTGGTGTCATCATCATCATCGTCATCATATTTGGGTGTATGGGCGTTTGAGGCGCTGCTTCACTCAGTCCATGTAAAAGTCACCCTTCAGAATTCTCTCCTGGAAAGCATCAGGCTTGGGCCGCTCAGGCTGCCTGGGCTGCTGCTTGACGGAAGAAGCTTGAGCTGGAGGCTGAGGCATCTCCGAAACGGACTTTGCCCGATCGTGGATGGAGCCTCGTGGCGGAGAGGAGGAGGCGAGCGAGAAGGAAGCGCGAGGAGCACCTATGACAGAACTCTCGGCACGAGACCTAAGCTGCTCGGACCAGTTGAAACCTTGCTGGTCTGGGCGCAAAACATAATTGTCAGATGGGGCTCTTGTATGTTTGGTGTTGCTTGCCTGTGGAACAGAAGAAGCGAGGCTTGGGCGACGTCCAGCAGACAAAGCTGCCGCAAGGCTTGTCCCTTGACTAGGGGAGCCTACGAGAGAGGGTTTCCGCCCAGCTGGGACAGTGCGCCCATTATGAGAAGCGGGAGGAGAGGATGGGCTATTACCATTTCCAGGGCTGCCATTAGGACGTATGTTACGCATGTTGGCAGGACCGAAGCTCATCCGCCGGACAAATGGTGTAGTAGGCGCAGTCTTGGAGTACATGTCGTCATCTTCGATAGCGCTCTCATCAATGGAGTCAGAGTTGTTCGAGTTGGTCGACATGCTTCCTCGACGAACGAAAGAAGATGTGTTTGTGGGTGAAGTACCAGAGAGACCAAGAGTGGTCACAGAAAGGCGTCGACGGCCAGTATCGACGGGGCCAGAAGACTGACCAGGAAAACCGTTGCCATTGGAAATCGAATTTCCCCTCTGGAAGAGATTGGTCAGAGCGGCCTGGGTGATTGATCCTCGTCTGTTGCGTGTATACATTTCGCCGTTGTTGTTACCGTTGGGGGGAGCAGTGTCTGCGGACATGATGGGCAACTAATAAACGACTTTCGTCGCTGATAATTATAGTTTTGGTAACGGTGAGATATGGGGAGATATGCGTAGCAGTGGCGCCAGAGTGGTTCGACGATGGCACAAACAGCGTTACAAGTGAATCCGGTGGGGGTGATGATAGTGTTTTAGAGTAATTGTGGGCTGCAGGATGGCCTGTAGAGTTGAGAACAAAGAAGAGTCGAAGGAATGAGTAAAGGAGAAGAAAGGGAAAGAAGAAGAGAAAAAGTTTAAAAGGACGGGATAGAAACGGGGGGATCAAAGGGGTTGATAAAGACGAACGGACAGTGTAGTCAGTGAGCGATGAACGAGGATGAATTGGGGTTGATCAGCTCTAAAACAGGGGAGCAGAGAAGGCCAGTTGGTGATGAGAGATCGCCGTTGCCGGTTTAGGTAAGAGGCGTTCTTCTAGGTCAACGTTGGAGGAGGGGCGACGACATGAAGACGAGCGAGACCGGCGGATTCGACTAGTAGTAATAGAGAGATGAGAATCGAGGACCTTGCGCAAGATGGTGGCAGTAAATAATTGACCAGGGTCAAGTCTACCTACCTAGGCTACTAAGGTAAGGTTCAGACTGTCTTGTCGTAGCAAGTCAAAAGTTGGGGGAGCATTCAAGATGGGTCTTTCCCCCCTCCATGGAAGCTGACGCCGGTACATGCAAGCGTGGCTAGTTCTAAGATTTGTTTGACTTTGATTTTGAGAACAGGCGGGCGAGACCTTCCCCTGTTCTTCCTTTGTTCAAATCCAAATGGAGGGGAAAGTGCGTCCGGGGCCCGAGTGACGTAGTGGCTACCATGTGGATACTCACTCCCGAAATCGGGCTCATGGTTGGCCAGATCACCCAATAGAAGAGGGTTGGGGACTGGGGTCGCTACCTAAGCCTAAACTACTGTGGCGCTACTCCAGGGTCCATTATGGAGGGTCTACAGAAGTGAATCGAGTCGTATCCTCCCCCAAAGGAATAATGGGGATGCCATGAGTCTGGGGCTGAACCCTTGTCTCTCATCTCGTTTCTTGCTCATCTTGAATCTGAGGCTAGCAGCTACGGTGCGTCTTGGCTTATTGAGCATATGTTGGTGTTGACATCCAATTGTTGAGATGTCATCGGAATCCGTTACTTGCTCAAATTCCCGACTCGAATGCCCTTGTTTATGTAATGATGGAATGAGTAGGATGTATGTAAATCAGCAGCTCATTTCCACTCTCGCCTATCATCTTCGATACAAGCCCCGAGACTCCGTGACAAGATTGGCAAATCTGACGTGGACAAGCAGATAGATACCGTAAACTCTTCCCACACTACCTATGTAAAAGTGACGATCTGTCTTTCCACAGTGTTTCGTTGAGGAAGGGTGAATGTGTTGAGTGAGCAGCGGTTCTGTGAGGTATGAGACAGAGACTTACCGACACACCTGCCTGCTTCCTTTTCATTGTCAGCTAACCGCTCCTTCCATGGCGTTGGTGCATGGCTATCTTGGAAGGTCTCAGAGGAGCCAGCAAGTCCAGACTAATGAAGCAACAAAGAGGAAAATGGAAGGGATGAAAGTATGAATGGTACGATCATTGGAAATGCGATGGACGACCCAAAATAGCACTGTTTGGTGCCTGACTTCCCCATCCTTATCACATCTGCTTCTCCTGCTCTCCATTGCTATCACATGCATTTATCATTTAATCCAATTTACAACAGTTTCATCACTTTAAACCTGACAACATGCCCAAAAAAAAAACTGTCACAGAATCGAAGATAGGTAACAAGTCAACCACCAACCATCGGTCCTTTTAATGAATGGCCCGGTAACGCAGCAACGAAACCATGAGAAGATCGCACTCAAGATGCAATACGAACCGCCACTTTGGACTTGGACTGCTGTTCTTACAGCGGGCGGCTCAGGGCATGGTGGACCCTCACGGACCCTGCCTGTCTAGGGCTCTATGCCCAATGTTCCATATTCCTCCCCGGCATCTGCGGCTTCAAGCATGGGCCTGAGCTGGGTGCCTTCACTAGCGCTGCCTGGTGGACTGCGGAGAAAACGGGTCTGCAAAGGGACCGCCCCGAGAAGCCAACCCTAGAGCGGAAAAGACGCCTGGTAGGTCCCCTTACGATGTCCACAGCGCAAACGATCCATTACCACCTGGCATCGACGTCACCCCCAAATGACGGTTTGCTTTTTTTGCGGGGTAATTTAAGTTACGACGCCCACTCAGCCATCTCTGACACAAATCCACCAGCACTTTTATTTGGGGGTTGCGGCTTTGCCGCCCAGGTACAGTTTCTCAGTCAACGAGAAGCGAGAAGTGTCGAACAGGCATGGGAAACATTCTCAACCTTAATCTCTTCGTGTTTGGAAGATGCGCCGATAGATGGCCGAGCAGCCAATTGGTATCTCACGATTGATCGCTCCACTGGCTAACCACCAGCTAGTTACATATGCACGTTTGGTCATGGTGGAAGATAAGAGTCAAAAGCGAAAGAGGGCCTACGATCACCAAAGACAAAACACTGAAGCAACGAAGCTCTTAGGAGCCAGTAGAGTCACGCACGTCAGATGAACAAGTGCTAATCTAGCACCTAGCCACTATTAATAACGATGGTGGGAGAGGAGGACATGATGATATGCGACGTAACTCAAACACGCAAACGAAACATCATGTTCGGCATTCACAGTTCACTCTAACTCACTTTTGAGGATGGAGGACCGCCCCCTTCTCTCGCGAGAATTACGTTCGTTATTACTTGACATCTCAACTATTGGATCTCATCCAATCCTTCTTAAGCCATCTGCAGCGTAGCACACCTCGCTTCCCTTGACATGACTCTCACAAACCTTGAATCGCGCACGGCCTGGCGTCTGGCTCATTCTTAGCGCCCAGCATCTCAGATCAAGTGACGGCTGTGATGCTAAGGTAATGGTGGCATTCGAACAACGAAGACATGATCAGCACCGTTTAATATTCAGCATGATAGCACGATGTACAGCAGAGTTGTCATTACCATGGCATCCATCTCCCAGCATCAATTGCACTGTTTGCTGCAACCTTCCCATCTAGGTTGGCCTTTGGCATCGGGAATTTGCAACAGCCACTGTTTAAGGGATATCGATGGATGTCCCACCATGAATACTTCTCTCTTGCGATAGACCAGCAGTCTGGTGGTTTACCTTGTTGCATTCTGCTTTGACCCCAGCTGATCGCTTCCAGTTTCATAACAATGACAAACCTTTCTCATGCTATCACTGATTAGCCTGCCTGAAATTCCACAAATACCACGTTGTTCGGGAAGACTGAACTCAGAATACGCACGGGTAAAGATCCTTGCCCTAAACTGAACAAGCCTCAGGGTATCAGAAAAATTGACCACTGGAAGCATAAGAGACGAAATTAGTAGGTCACTTTATGCCCCTTAGGCTATAGTTCTTAGACTACCTATTTTTATATCCTAAGACTTAGGAGGCCATTTTTTCTGCTACCTAGTAGACAAGCCAAGGAAATATATCTATAGAGATATATGGCTGCGGAGGCCTTGTTCTGTTTCTCCTGGGATTGTCTCCTCTTGAGCCAATCATGGGCTCAGCTTCTTACCCCGCGCCTGCCCACTTGTTCCCGCGACCGGCTCACGGCATTCTCGGCCGCTGCGATGCATTGGTGCACTTGGCTTGACCTCGACAACCTGTATTGGGTTGTTTTGGGTAGGATTTCTGAAGCCCTCGACACCCTCTTCAGTTATTGATGTGTTTGATGTTACTCATTCACTCCCCTCTGCCATGGTTTTGTTGTTGATCAATAACTATTGACTGAAGCCGGTGGTTCCTAGTGGGATAATCTTGAATCATCTGGTTCTGTGGTGGTCTGTCGAGATGCCAGTCTCACCCGCACAAATACGGGCATCTCCCACAATCCGTTATAACCAATCTTGGTAGAAATAATAGCTTTTTAAAAATCATGGTTCACCACACCACCAAGAGATTCGCGAGCTTGGTAGTGCACACGGCCTGCCTATCAAGTTTAATTGCCAAGGTATAAATACCAGAAGACACAGAAAAGATGGGTGGAAGCCGCCCACAATGTTGCAGCTTGCAACCTGCACGGTGACAGACTAGTCCAAATGATACTGTATGTTCCTGGTGGTGGGGGACAGCATCGTCAACACCAAGCCCGTTCATTTCCTGGACGGTCTGGACCGCGGCGAAGTGTCGATCTGATTCGAGCCACCCAATAACCGTTGTTGTAAGGAAACACTACATAACAGCAGCTAAAGTAAGGTTATGTTGTTGGAATCTATCCTCTTCTTGTCGCCCATTCATTGTCTCCCTCCATTCCTTTTCCTTGTCCTTTCCCTCTCCCTCTCCTCTTTTCTCTTCTGTTCTCCTCAGTTTTCATATCCATCTCTTTTCTTCTTTCTTACGGTGCAGCTCGACTATCGTTCATCTACTCTCTTCTCATTCATTTGTGACCTGTTTATCTTGACTGTTCTTCATTTTTGATACTCACCGCTTTCCAAGATGGCCTGCATATTCTTCCCCACGCCGCGTGGGTTATCCGTTCCATTATCGCGTTAATCTTGTCTTTGAACCACCTTCGCCTGCCACCTACCTGCATGAATTATCAAGAAGACTTGGACCGGGCACTCGGCCCGCTATCCTTTACATATTCACCTCCAAATTGCACTCTATCAACACCAATTGTTCGCGCCTATCTTACACTTGACCGCCCGGCCTTCATTCAAACGAACTCGTCTCGGGTTTCAGCATGGATCTTAAATACTCGTACCCCCTTAATGTGACGGCTATCAACAAAACAACTATTTCAACACAAAACCACAAGTAAGTAGCCACTGTAGCTAACACACGCAGACTTCCTTGTCCAATTTTCCTGTAAAGTAGCCCTAGATCAACCCTACATCATCGGGCGTCAAGATCGCGCCAGCAGTCCCTACGCGTAGGATTTCGCCATGCTTGGCTGCGCTGTCAAGATGTATATTTGAAGAAGCACGCCGCCGGCTAGACTGGTAGGATCATCAAGAGAAGCTGCTATTGTGATATCACTCACAAGTCGTAGGTCACTTCCGAACGAGCTCCATATAGCAGCATGACCGACATGTGCTAAGAAAGGGTGCCGGAGGGATGAGTGATTGGACTTGACTGGAGATAATGTGACATGGGAGGCTTAATATTGTATATAAAAGAAGTCCTCTTGATCGCTCATAAAAGCGAATCTTGCGTGGTCATCAAGACTCTAAGACAAGCAATGAGACAGATCTTTCCAACAGATGCATACTTAAACATAATGCCATCAACTCTTGGCCTGTCTGTGGATCGTTGCTCAGACTTTATAACTAGTCAATCGTTCCCCATTCTGTAACATCAATAAGTGCTTTTTCATGTCCATGGAACCAGACCTCTCAAGTGTACAATTCACTATGTGAGTTGTCTGCTTCATCTCAGTAACATGTCGTTACAATTGCGGCTGCTGTGATTATCGTCAATGAAATACTCAAGCCAATCTTTTCTTTTGCCATAAAAGCACATTTATTTCACCCAGCGTTGTTGGATTGCGTGTCATGGCCCCTTCTTTTCCCACACAACCCACACACTCCACAATCGCCAGCATTGAGATACCGCGTAGTCTGACATGCATCACTCGAACATTGCCATGAGCCTGGTGCTGAGGAATCCAACACATTGGCACACATTGCGCATGTAAGAGCTAGGCTAGGGTTGGCGTAGGAACACATTGAGCATGTTCCACTAGGTGTTGACAGATCATTTGTTGAATTTTCTGGTTCAGCTGCTGTTGTTGTTACTGTCGTCGTCGTTGGAGATTGGGTCCTGGGTTCTTCTGCAGCCTTTAGAGTGTCCTTTGCGTTGGCACGGCTCAGAGAAATTGTTATCTTGGGTTGTCCAGCCTCTTTTGATAACTCTGATTTGATCTTTGTGGTTGATGTTGCTGGCAGTTGAGATTGTCTCTTTTGGCTTTGGGGTCTTGTACTTTTAGATATGTCTGGTATCTCTGGTACAGGAGACTCCCTTTTGATAGCTCTGATCATCTTTTGAAGCTCCTGCGTTTCATCCATGGCACCGAGATCATCGGCATCCTCATCTCCACAGACTCTGACCATCCCCCGGCCTTGTCCGTCGAGCATTCTCTTGCCGTCAACATCAACGGCGTCCTTGGAATCTTCTCCGGGCCCATCCTCAAACTCGCTACCACTGCCAGAGTCCGTCTCATCATCGTCTTTAACAGGGTCTGGTTCGTCTTTTTGTTTCTCGAAGCGGGCGAGCGCTGCAGCTGCTCTTAGTTCGCGCCCTCTCATGCTTCCAGCAACTCGGGGCTTTGCTTGAATCTTCTTGCCGCTTTCCAGCTTGACCTTTTCCACTTCATCTGCACCAAGAGCAACTCCGTTGGCGCCAAACTTCTTCAGAATCCTCTTCTCCTTTCGCTCTTGGTAGGACAGCTGCGGTTTAACCTTTCTCTTTCGTCTTGATCTGTATGTGCCTCCACAGAGATGTTCCGGGAGAATCTCGTCAGCAAGTACCGTATTTTTCTCCCACCCGCCAGTAGCAAGACTAGCACCTCTACCCCAGATTCCATCTCCCGTGTACTTTTTGGACCAAAGCTCGTGCATTTGCGATGCGTATGAATTACGGACCGCCCAAAAAGCCCGCGAGTGGTTCATCTGCTTACAGTGTGCTAGCTCATGCATCATGACCATCTGGACGTAGTTGAATGGAAGCCAGCGACCGGTACTGGGTGACTTTAGAACCAGTTGAACCACCTCTCCTGCATTGAAGTTACGACCGACAAATTCACGGTTTGGTTCATATTCTTCTAGAGAAGTGACATAGAGATGGTGTTCTCTCATGATGGGACCTTTGGAAGGTAAAAGTTAGCAACAAATACATTGCGGCATGAGAGGGAAACCTACGACATTGTGCAGCTATTCTTTCGAGAAAGTCTTGTGCGACTTTCTTGTCAGGACCTTCTAAAGGCTTGATAAAGACAATATTGGGATTTGGCTGTGTTTTTCTTTCATTTAGCCTTTGATATCCAGCAATCATTTTGTCTCGTTTAGGGTGCTGTAGGGTGTTTAAGGGATCTTATTTTCTAGCATGTCAATGAGAATAGTCCTGAATAAAGACGTCTGAATGAATGACGCAGTGTGACAAGGAGTACATCTCTAAGTGGAGTTGAACAGAGGTGATGTCTGCCTGGTGAACGTGTAAAGTGGAAAGTTGGAAACGCGAAGTCATGTGACCGATTCAATCTAATCTCAAGAGATAGTACATACAGCATACCAGACAACTATGAGCATGGCTACTACAGCTTGCCATCTCGACATGTTGCATATCAAGTCCCAAGAATATCTCTGCCTTCACCTTGTACACTGCAGACTATAATCATTATTTCCTCTACACTCTACCACATACGACCAAAGCTCGTAGAGAATACGGGGTCCCGTCCGCTCCCCCATCGTCAAGCTGCGAAGCGCTGGATTAGTAGTTGGGTCGGTGACGACCAGCGAATCCCCAGTGTTGTATGTTTTATTTTTGATATTACTATATGTCTTTTAATCACGGCTGGCGGGAAAAGGTCATGTGTGACAATGGTTGCTTGATTGTACTGTCATATGACCATAAGGATAGGAGGAACATCTAATCTATTGATATGCGAAATCTAAATGTTGCAACGAATGGCTGGAATGGTCGCTTGCTGGGTCTATCACAAGAGACCCGATATCTGAACGCTAATAGTCAATGTGTATAATCTCAATATCATCATTATCCATTCCATCATGTGTATCATTATTCCTGGACTGGTCTCTCTTCAACATTGGCGATGGCGCTCTGTAAAGCACTCGTCAAGTCCACATGGAATAGAGGCTTGTTCTGGCCGTGAACAACAGCACCTCTCCGCCTCTGCTTCTCCAACTCGCCGGGTGATATGGATCCATAAAATCGTACAGAAGGCACTCCCCCTACCAGAGGTTCTTCTTCTATGATATCGGAATCTCGGGGTGCAATGCCGTGAGAGTTCGTCTCTTCAGCTAGCGCTGAGTCTCTATCCCCAATCTCTGCCACGCTAAAGATAGACTTCCATCTCCGTTGTAATCCATCTTCACCAGGCCTGCAAGGCACTCCAAAACCTGCTGCTATAAGAGCCCGCTTGGTCCAACGGTTGTTTATGCAGGCAAAATGCCAGTCGACTCCATTTGGAGAGGCGTATGAATCAAGTTGGTTCCGTATATCAATCAGTCGTTGTATCGAGGTGATATCGACGTTATTTACAGAACTGAAATCCATGACCACTGCTTTCAACATCGGAAGGACCGAGTCCGCGTCAACATGCACAGGTCGTTTTGCCGATTTTCTAGGTCCTGGATTGTTCCATGGCCTATCTCCCGGTCGTTCAAACGCTTCGGGACTGCTGCGCTGAGTATTGGACTGGATGAAATCGGCAAGATAGTCCAGTGAAGAATTGGCATTTGGGTAATTGAAGCCTTCAGAGAATCTGTAGATAAATATTCCAGGATACGGGTGGCCGACTTCGACTTCAGGGTTCGAGCCATCGTCATGGTCGAGTGGAAGAAACACGTTTCGTGCTGATATGTCCAAATTCTCTGTCGTCTCAAATTTTCCGACAACTTTGCGATGATGGTCTCCAATAACATGATCCCCGATAACCGAGTGAACTTTGACTTTGCCCATGAATCGACCGTGGGCCTTGAGAATTCGATACAGGAATACAGCACCTGAGAACAGAACTGTGGCATACAGTCCAGCCTCGATGTGCGCAAAGATGCTGACGACTACTCCGGTGAAGAAGATAAAGACTTCAATCGGTGAGACTCTCCAGAATTGATAAATCGTGTTTGGGGGCGTGATAAGGTCTCCAACAGCGTGGATTATAACAGCTGCAAGAGCAGCACTCGGTATGTAAAAGAAGACGGCCGTTAATAAGTATGTTGCAAGGAGGACGACAAGTCCAGTAATTATACCAGCAGCTGGCGTTCTCACGCCAGCTTTCGACTGAATAGCCGTGCGACTGAAAGATCCCGTAGATGGGAATGCTCCAAGAAAGGGCCCGATGAGATTGGCCATTCCAATAGCAACCATTTCCTGCGAAGGGTCAATTGTGTAGTTGTTGACTCGTCCGAATGACTTGGAAATGGCGATGTGCTCGACGAGTAAGACAATGACGGTTGCTGGTAAGTAAGGACTGAAACCTGAGATAAGATCTGATGTTATTTTGGGCACTCCGATGTTCTGAAAGCCTTTGGTTTTGTCAGTTCGTTGTCAGACTAGCAGCGCATAGTGATGGTTTACCTTTTGGCACAGCTCCTAGAATTTTGAAGAGGGGATCATCTCGCCTGTGCTTATTTAGAGCCCAGCTGATAGTTGTGTACATTATTATTACGAACACTGTTCGCATCGTGTTAGTGAAGAACAGGAATCTCTTGTGCTTAGGATATCGCTCCGCAGCGACGGTGAAACCCTGGCGAAAGAGGTACAGAATGGTCAGAGCAGACAACCCGACGATGGCATCATAGTTTGCCTCTCCCAGATGCTCGATAGTATTTCTGAAGACTTTGTATGGTGAGTCCCGAGTCGAGAAGCCTGACAGACCAAGTAGTGCCGGTAGTTGGCCAACGCAAATTGTGATAGCAGAACCAGTCATGAAGGCCGAGAGCGAGGTAATGGAGATGAGATCCACGATCCACCCGCACCTGAGAAGCCCAATAAGAAGAACTACAAATCCAGCAGAAATAGACAAGGCCGAAGCAATTACATGAGCTGGCATTTCTTGCCCAGAGTTCTGAATGTCATGAACAACGTTGCCCACGACGGTGGAAAGGACGGCAACGGGACCAATCGAGATGTCCTTGGATGTTCCGAATATCCAGTAGATCAAAGCCCCTATGAAAGACGAGTAGAGACCAAACTGAGGTTCCAGGTTGGCGAGCATGGCATAAGCCATTCCTTGTGGAACCACGACTGCACCGATAGTAATACCAGCAACCAGGTCACCTGCAAACCATTGCAGATTGTAGTGGCTTATCCAATTCGAGAAGGGGAATAATGAAACTCCGTATGTGATGAGATCCTCTTTTGATGGGATTTGTTCTTTGACCCATTCCGCTGACGTGGGCTCGGACTCATAAAAGAAACCGCCATTCTGTGATGAGAGAACTGAATGATCACTCATTTGGGCGTATTGGTCTCGCTTTTGACCCTCGAGTTTGATGCCTAGGAGCTTGGCGAAGCAATGACCTAGACCATTTTGGCCTGTCATTATAGGTCTTGACGTGTCTGTTTCCATTGGTGTTTTGTTTAGGTTGTGCAGGTGTGTAGAGCCCAAAGATGAAACTGGTCAGGCTTTCAGGTTCTTGGCAAGACAAGATGTTGTTTATTTCAGTCGGAACATGGCATATATTTTCTTTGGTGAATGCGCCGGTAACCGGTAACCTCGAACGGATTCTACTGGGTTGAAATCGTCAGGTCATGTATTACCCGCGTGTTTCAATATAGAAGTTGGTGTTCAGCTTATTTGGTGTTGTAGCTGTAGGCTGGGCTGGCTAATAGTGCAGAAGTGGTGTCTAATTATATGGTCTGGGATTTAGGTTAGGTCGATGACGAATACCGTGGGGTTTAAGGTGACATTAGATGATGGAGGATGTAATTGTAAGAAGCTGAGAAGTAGATATTATTTATTCATGATGTCTATTAGAGAAATCTGGGGAATTATTAACTAGTAATCAGGACTGTCGGCAATCAGGGTTCATGTATAAATGATAGGCTACAGACGGTCAGGCCGGAACGCCGTAAGCTTCTCTTGATGGGATTCTCCATCTTTTTCAGCCCATGGAACAAAAGTTGCGCAGCCTTGACCAGCTTTTGAGTGCCCAGAATGATATAAAAATGGGTGCGTTGTGTTTAGCATGACCGATGTCGCAATCGCCACTTTACCTATCATGGTAGTAGTGTAACGGCCTTAGTAAACCACATGGTCTAACATTAAACAATCCTTGATACACTAAAGAGCCACGAGGATCGAGATGGAAGCAGATAAGCGATGGGTGACTATTTGGCATTTCTGTAAAAAAAAAAAATCAATAAAATTATTTTGGTCCCATGGTCTTTACAAATTGAGAGATGCTGACAATTCCTTGAGTGCTAAGGTATTCACATTACATCCAGTCTACCAAGGTAAGTTTATGATCTATATCAGCCAAAGGCCTAGGATATATGTACCTATGATAAATTATCTGATTCTAGAGATACAACTACCTTGCTTCTCTGTGATAGATATATCTTATCATTTAATATTCTTGTTCTTACGGACATAAAGAAAAGATCTCGCTAAAACGCACGTAAAGTCGGCGGATCGGCCCAGCCAACCCCGATCTCAAAATAGCATACAGCCAACCTCTCAAATTACGTGCATTCCATTCCCATGGATAGAAGAATAGCAACAACGTTAAAAAGCATGGAAATGGAGACATATGACGAAACACCAAGAGATGGTATATCGGAAACCGTTGTAACTCTTGAGCTATTATAATTGTTATCATCACTGATTAAAACGATTGGGCACAAGTTTAATTGAAAACGCGAAACAAACACGATTCATCAAATTGTCCAGCCAGCGACATCTCTTCTCTCTACCTTCCTTCTTCCTTCCTCCCTTTCCAAGCCTTTTAATCAACCTCCAGCCTCCCTACTAATGGAAAACCAAATTACATCTTGATCGCTTTTTCAACGGCATCAGCCCTAGTAATACTAAGGCTATATTCTACAACCTCGCCAATTATTCTCTTTAAATCTTTTGTATAATACAGATACCTCCCCCCCCCTTCGTCTCCTTATGCTTCTTTGGGCAGCTCAGCGATAACCTCAAAAAAACACAACCATGTCGGAGCCATCGTCAAATTCCAACCTCAATGCCAGCTTCAAAGCGTCAACGCCCTCGCTTCCTGCCCCTGTAACGACAACACAACTCCAACCCCCACCATCGCCGCGCACTCATCGCGCCCTTCGCCGTCTTCAATCCGCACACACTCTAGGCGCTCGCGCCCGCGAACAGGCCACGCCCTCCCTCATTTCTCAGCAGCGACAGCGCGATGACCAGCGCACAACCAACTCCAATGGCCCTACCTCGCCTACAAAGCCCTCGCCTACAAAACCCTTGCCAGCGCCGCCTCCTCTTTCGAATCAAAACGTTCATCGCTCACCCCAGCGAGGTCGTGCCAACAGCGATGCCACTCCACCCCTCGTCCATCAGATGAACGTCGTTACAGCCAGCAAACGTGCTGGGAGTAAGAAGCCCGTCTTTTCGCATGGCCATTTGCCGTTACATCAGATCATACGCGAGGGACCAACTGATGGTGATTTCTTGGGTGCTTTGGAGAGTGCGCGCTGGAAGGTTATTGACGAAGGTGTCAAGAGTGCTGAAGATGGCATGGTAAGACCAGCCACTCCCAATTGGTACTTCAAACTAACATGATGTAGTCGACTTTAAGAATATACGTCTGGCTTGTCCTCCTCGATGCCCCTATCCTATCAACCGACGATTATCTCGCCCTCATCCATCGAGGCGCTTCTCCAGCCTACTCCAAGATCCGCAACGACACATTTCGCACCCTTACAACCGATCCTCTCTTCCGGCGCCGTGTTAGCGAGGCAAGTCTTATTCGACTCCTCAACGCAATCGCATGGAAGCTCCACGACACCCGCGAGGAAACTCGCCAGAGCCGTCCTACCAGTAGCCGCGCTTCACTTCCAGGTGGTAGCAGCATCTCGGGTCGATCCCACTCAAACGCAAGCACATCCTCTCCTACAGCCCGTAACCGAGCTCGTGCCTTGACACTCACGACTGAAGGCTCTGAATCTGGCGCTGGCGCTACGAGATTGGAGCCCGGTACGTACGTCCAGGGTATGAATGTCTTGGCAGCTCCTTTTCTCTACGCAGCTCGCAGTGAGGCAGAAGCTTTTGTGGCTTTCCATTCATTGTTAACGCGCGAGTGTCCCGGCTATATCCGCGGTGCTATGGATGGCGTCCATCGAGGTCTCGCTCTGGTAGATAAAGTACTTGCCATTGTAGACCCTAAGTTGAGCATGTATCTCACCGCAAAGGGGCTGTCAGCCGAGATTTATGCTTTCCCTTCTGTCCTGACGTTATGCGCCTGTACACCACCTCTTCCAGAAGTTCTGCGATTATGGGACTTTTTGTTCGCATATGGGCCGCATCTCAACATTGTCTGCATCGTGGCACAACTCACGATTATGCGATCGCAGATTTTGCAATCTCCCAGGTAAGAACCACGCGCGAGTCTTGGATTCCAACGATCACTAACATTTACCAGCCCGAACAAGGTCTTGAGATCGTTTCCTCAACTTAATGCGGATCTCGTCAAATCTGTCACTATTGGTATTATCAAGAAGATTCCAGATGATGTTTATGCCGAGATCGTGTCTCACGCTCTCTAATCCAGGCTAGCTTTATCGTACTTCTGGGCCACAGATGAAGCTGTGAGTCCTAGGATGGTAGAGATTCGAGGCACAGCATGTGCAGGGGTCTTGTCAATTGCGACCTCATCTGACGTGCATACCACCTCGCGAATCGGAACTTTATCTCGAGCTGATTTCCTTGCACAACAGCTCTAAAAGCATTAAGGGTTCTGTAACAGAAGGGAATCTTATTGAATACCGCCACTGCGCCATCCATTCGCCACAGACGACAGGCTTTTTTTCTTTTCTTCTTTTTGTTTATGGTTAATGATCAAATGCGTTATGATTGGGAGGAACACGAATAATGAAAATGTTCATAACGGGTAACAGGGCCGTTGTAAAAGCAAAGATGCTCCAGATGAATTAATGAATGAATATACGACTGCTTGGTTTATCTATTATCTATTTACATGTGAATCGAATTGAAGCGAAAGCGTGGTTCTGGTCTGCTGCCCATCGTACGCCTGACATGTTTTAGGCTTCAACACTCTATTAATCAAACACAGCGTCGGCTTACATGCTTATACTTATTCGTCTGACAACATAAGGCTTCTACTCCTCCAAAAGGGAAGTTGAAGCGCAACTTTTGTTTATCATCACTCACGTTATGATCGTTAATCGTGGATGCTCGTCAACATGCGTGTGCAATATGGCGGATGGGCGTGCTGTTCTGGCTCTTCTCCCAGTTTGCATCCCCTCTTAGAGAGAAATGTCGAGATCGCTTGTGTGCAATACACAATGGTTACTGGATCGAAGTATTGCCACGTGGGCGGCGCTGCAATCAGTTCTAGTGACCATGTTTTGAGACTTTGAGCACGGGGTTCATACGTCGAGCCAAAGTTGGTCAAATATGGTAGAACCTGTGCGATGCCTTCAGATGTTGAGAAGACTCAACTGAGACGTGGTTCTTTCAACAAACGCCGTTCCATGCTTCAGCCCTTTAGTAGGAAGGGCAGCCACCTTCAGCTCGGTGGAAAGCGTTGGCAAAGAAGGCTTGCATGGCCGTGTAGTGGAACAAGATACCTCCAAGAACGGCAGCATGCCACAGGTTGTGGCTTCCACCGATGTAGTCAAAGCAACCAGGATACCATCTTTCAGGGATCTTGCTAGCGTAAACAAAGGCACCTGAGAGATAGACGAGCATCGACTTGGAAATGGGCGAGTAGAAATCGTAAACAAAATCGAGACCATGAGTCCATCCGAGCTGCACCATAGGAAGGAATCCAGTCAAGGCAAGGCCAACGTAAAAGGCGACACGAACCCATGCCATATCGGCACCATTAAACCGAGGATGCCAAGGGAGAATGACGCCACCAATTCCAAGGAACGCCGTCAAGCCCATGTAGATATAACGGCTAAGAGGATCGCAATAAAAGGCCGTGTATTCGGTCGTCATGATTGAAGCGGCGATCAAAAGAGAAATGCCGGTATAGTCAACACAGGCGAAAATTGAAATAGCATCAACATCTGCGACGGCATTCATGGTGTGCCAGATTGTCGAGCAGACAAGTGTCAGGCAAGCCATAACGAAAAAGACACCAGCGACGAACACATCGGACTTGCTGCTGAGTGTAAAGTTGGCAGTATTAGGATAAAAGTAGAGCGCAATTGCAAGGACCAACACAAGACCAAGCGCATGAGACCAAATATTGAACATTTCGTTGGAAGGGGTGAAGGCTGAACGAATACAATCGAGTTTGGACTCGGTGAAGCGATAGCCCTTGTGGATATGGGGGTTGTTTCGCCAAGGAGAGGGGAGGTCGTCATAAGAAATAAGACGCCCTTCCTTGGCCAAGACGATGGCCTGTTGAATGTGTTCCTCAAGAGAGTAAGCGGCTTGGATGGCGCGCTCAATACTCTCGTTTGCGACTCGACGTCCCTCATCCATAAAGGCCTCGGCCGCATTGGCGGCGTTTGCGAAACCTTGCTCGCGCAGCTTATATGCCCGGGTCTCAAAGTCGGAAAGCATATTCTCGAGCAAGTCAACGCCCATGTGAGCCTTTTCGTTCAATGACTCGGCGGCTTCCAGAGTCTCTTTGTATCTTGTCTCGAGAGTGTCGACCATGATGTGTAGACGGCGCCGTCCGGCACCAAGGACTTCTTCGGAGGCATGAGAACATCTTGAGCGAACAGCCTGGAGGGTGGAAAAGGTGCGCGATATGCTCGAGTCTTTGCTGAGGTCAACGTAGTTCTCGATAAAGTCGAGGCGGCGCTCGAGCTCCGAAAGGAACAGGTCGACTTTGAGAAGAAGACCCTCTTCGCCATCCATGATATGGCCGACAATGGATCGTCTCCTAGGTATGAAGAAAGAATGTCGTCGCTTTCGGGGTTCGACGTCGGGTCGAATATCTGAACCAGAGGTGGTCGCTATATTATCACTATCACGAGCCTTGTACGTACAGGCCGTAGTGATGGCGGTGGTAACGTCGGACATGGCGGCGGCTTAATAACTTTATCGAAAATGCTGTGTTGTTTGTGCCGCGACAATTGAGCCAGGTGAGGAACAGTACAGCAAATAGTAAGTTGGCAAGCGTTGTAACGCTGCAACTAGTGGCGACGAGTCAGAGTCAATGCATCAAGTGATGCTGTTGATCGGTTGGTCAAGTTGGCTGGATAGTATTCACACGCAGCTTGCACCACGAGCGATGAATGAGGAGTGCAATTGGTTGTTATTAAATCAGCGAGAAGTCTCGGGACGAGGGGACAAGTTGGGTGAAGTATGGAAGGAACCCCTGCGGTTAACTGCGACGCGGGGATAGCGATAGCCGAGTTTGGTTGGCGGAAATAGTCTTGTGTCGTTTTTTTCTCTCTCTTTCTGTTGGATAAGGATCTGCGAATAAGCCGGAAAGCCAAGCCTTGGTATAATGGAGAAATGATATGATTGTTGAGGAGGCCAAAAATTAAAAGGAGTGATATAGTAGAGTAAAGTAGAATCGAAGCAAAGGAGGGAGAGCGGAATGGTTCAAATGAGAGAGGAACGAACAAGGCGCATGACGGTTGAGATGTTGAGGAAGTGACTTGACCATCAAGAAGGGGAAAAAAGGAACTGGATTGATCCCAGCACCTGAAATGACGGTGCCGGGGGCGGCCTTGGCGTCCCTTGCTAGGTTACTTTAACGGACGCCACTTGCAAGACGACTGCATCGTTCATTGGGCAGCGATTTAATAAGGCGAAGACACAATGTACTCTATAACAGAATACATTCCATTTTCTTGATCAAAGGGTATAGTTACGGATTGGTGTGTGGACTGAGAGAAGTGAATTCAGTTCGATGTTAAGAAGAACACCAGTTTCTATCAACTCAACTCCTCCCTGACAAAACATGAACCAAAAGATACAACTTCATGACTTTCACTAGATAGCTCGGTAACAGTTACAGCTCGCCACGGCCCGCTTGGCGACTTTGACGATGACGACTCGGGCCAATAAGGCATCAATCTTCAAAACGCCGCCGATGCACCCACGGACACTTGCAGCCAAGTGGTTGGTTCCTGTTCCTGAACTAGAAGGTACAAGAACTCGATTTAAAGATGATGCGGATGATAACAATAGATCATGGGGGACGCAGTATCGGCTGACGTTTGATAGACGTCTTTCTGGTTTCACACTCATCTCCAAGCTGAATGAGATATATCCTCTAGACTTGTCCGCAATATCTATCCGATGATCCCGGAGCAGAAAGGGGCCGAAGCGGGTTCATGCTTATTACATTTTGAATAATATGGGGTTTATATTGGAGACAATGCATCTGTCGTTGTCAACATCAACGGCATAGTTACACATACATCCACTGCCATACACGATCACCGGCTTGAAAGATAGTATCCCATACCTGTCAGTTTGAAGGAGTAGACTGACAGGCGTGATTCGCTATAGGAATGTCACCGCCTGCCTAGTGGGCAGCAGAAAAGTTGGCTTCCTAAGTCTTAGGATATAAAAATAAGTAGTCTAAGAACCATAGTCTAAGGAGCATAAAGTGACCTACTAATTTCGTCTCTTATGCTTTCAGCGGTCAATCTTTCTGATACCCTGAGGACCGCCTTGTTTACCCAGCAGACTAACAGACGCAGGGACTATATTTGATCTTTGCGCTGATCTCAGGCGGTATACAGAGAAAGTAAGAATGGATGTCTCTGCATCTGCCCTTGAAGAGTCAAGTGGAACGCACGAGTTGACGGGTGGAATATATTATCAGAAAGCAGTTATCCGTCGCATAACTGCCAGGCATCTGAATAATGCTTATGAGCATACAAATACTGACGAAATATACGTGCACACTATTCAAGACTGTTATGGACCATTCGTTGAGTCTTTCTCTAAAGAACCAGAAACTACTAATTACTTAGAACTGGTGGAGGAAAACGACAACGCTAGACTTAAAACTCTCCCTAACTATAAGTACATACCTTGGTATCTATCTAGAATAGAGCTTCCTTGATACAAGGAAAGAGATTGAAGGAATTAGCAAAGTACACTTTTGCATCAAATGAAAACTCAGTTCTATTCAGAGTTTTCGTATAAGCCATCATTCCAAAGTCCAGACAAATTGCTTATACGGCAAAGTACAGTCAATGTTCTTTGGAGGCTGTACTGATATATGATTCGGCCCCACCTTTGTGCTCGTCCAATAATTATCCTTCCTGCACAAACAAGCAAACAGCCTATCCCAACTCAACCTCGCAACCACCACATCAATCGCATCTACAACAAAGAACTGTTCGTCAAATACTGCCCGTCGATTTACCGGTACCGCACGCGCACAAAAATATGGCCATCGATAAGATTGTAACGGACCCGAGGCTCTGCGCCGTCCTGCAGATTGCCGACCAGGCACGCGATCAAGCCAGCGCCCTCATTAACCTTGGCGAACAAACATACAGCCAAGGACCTGCATCGGACAAGGCGCAAGATGAGATATTCAAGCAACAAAGACTCCTTTTCACCACTGTGGCCCATTTGAAAGGATTGCACCGAAATGCCTGCCTTACAGCCCGCGAGACAAAGGCTCAGACTGCCGAGTCGCGTCAGGAAGTCGATCGCTTGCACCTCCAACTTCAGAACCTTTACTACGAGCAACGGCACCTTCAGGGAGAGATCACTGCCTGTGATTCCTACGAGTAAGCCACGACACCTAAACTTGTTGCGACGGCACGGGTCAACCAGAACAGTCCACTGACACATTACAGCCACAAATACCAGCAATTGCCTCTGATTCCCGTGGAAGAGTTCCTAGCACAGCACCCCGAGCATCAAGATGATGATGAGGACACCTTGATGGTGGCGCGCATCGACCACGAACGAGCCGAGCGTGAAGCGCTTGAGCAACAACGACAGGAGCTCCTCAAGCGAAAGCAAAAACTCATTGCGGATAACAAACGGCGAAAGGATGACTTGGCTAACCTTGACAACGATCTCGAGAAGTTTATTGATGTCAGTATTCTTGATGCTCTATCACGAATTGTGTTGCATTGTTCTAACGTGCTTCCAGGCTGCCAAACCAATCCAGAAACTTTTCGAAAAGGCGCCTTGAGCGACAGTTTTTTTATTTATTTTTATTAAATAATTGACAGACACTCAGTCACTGCTTTTCCAATATTATGCTGAGTCGAGAACTCGACTCAGCTTGAAAATGGGCATTGAAATTCAGGAGTCGACGCAAATTGACGTCACGACAGGATGATACACAGCGGGAGTACGGCGTTTATGTTTACAGACGGGATTGAAACAAGAAGAGGGTATTTTCCTAGACAAATGAGTTCCGGAAGGTTTCCTTGGATACAAGATACTACTTGGAGAGGCACCAACAATTGGGTTGAACCGAGCATCCGGTTTTATTTAGTGCCTAACTCACCACACAGACACAGCTTTTCTAATAGAACAGTTGACCTTGTTCTGCCCATTAATATTTTCAAGTCTCATGACTATTGATTCTATGATACTACAGGCGCAATTATACCTAACGCTTAGCTAAACGACGGCGCCCTACCTTTGTCGTATTAGAGCGGGTCTTTACGAAAATGCGAGATCCAATCACTTGTCCCCGTGGGTCAATGATAGCCAACATCATGGGCATCAACTAATAAATACACTCGTCGAATGCCGCAAGATAACCATAAAACTCTTGATTTGACTCCGACAATCTTAGGGTGGGTTTGGTACATTTGAGAGCGAGTTCCTAGCCAGTTATGGTGGCGCGTGTTAAGGTTACGGCTTGTTATTGACGATCAAGTCCCTAGCTAGCATAAACACCAAGCAAGCGTTGCAACACGCATCCGAGCACCTCAGAGCCGAGCAAGCCGCGTGAACAATACCTCCAGCCAGTCAAGTTCTACTGCTGTCAACGTTGCTACACAAACCAAAATCAAATTTGAAGCTCCTGACTTGGAGGCCTGTTACTTGCATCCCCTATTATCTGGGATCGAAAATATCTTGACTGACAACGTCTCGATTAGCACCATCGACGACAGGGTTTGATCGAGTGTTTGTACACCAGCGGTACCCAAAGCTCTCTCGAGCTCGGTTCGTCGGTTTATGATCAAAGCCGGGGAAAATACATCTGTAGCGTATCATGACCAAGATTGAACCGCAAGAGAGCAATCACAGTAATAACCAAATGCTGTATTACTCCTTTTGTGAGGAGGAAGATCACGAGAATCTACATCTCTACCATTGGATTGGTTATACGAGTCATACGCCTGGCTGGTCGTTGAAGTAATTCTAGGTCCAAATGTTACAATCTGCCCCCAGCGATAATTAACAAGACATCCTGGAGTCGTTCATTCAGCAAACTTCTGACCGGGAATTATTATTCGATCTCGAGAGTTGATTCGCAACTGAGACGGCTGATCACTAAAGATCCCATAATGTTGGTCACCCAGCTCTTTGCAGCTTCGAATGGTTTGGGAGAAGTCATGCAACTCTCTCAAGATGCTCCAAAGACGAAAGAAGCATTCGCTGCAGCACATCAAATACAAATCGGTACTGGCTCCGGCAAGAAGCTTCAAGTACCATAAGCTCGTACACTTATATCATGGGCATGCGGGATCTACAATATTTGTATCATGGGCATATTCTCGATCGTGAGTGGTCAGAGCTCAACCTCAGGGACCTTCACTATCAAATTTGAGAGTCTATCTACCGCAACGTACTAGGGATGTACACTACAAGGACAGTTTTTGAGTTTGTTTATCAAGAAGCCGTCGTTAGCTTGACACTGAGAAACGCCCAAATACTCACCGCTCTGTCTCTCACACTTGAGATACCTATAGCCATTATGGAATGGCTTCTTCAGAACTTGGGCCTGTAGATAATGTCCGGTTGCCAAGTTGGGCAATGATCAAGCGAACATGTTTCTCAAGTGTCCACCCCTTATACCGCATCGTTCGCCAAATGGGTGTGGAGCCTGGAGAGATCATTATCTTGTTTCCATGGCCGAATCAGACCGTCTACAACATGGCGCGTGCTATACGGGTTGGCGAACGTATCTTTGAAGATATCATCTAATTTATGCATTGGGAATCGCCGATGTTTCTATTCACCCGCGACTAGTTGTTTTCTCGATATCATAGTCCATTTCTGTCTGTGAAACTCGGGTAGATGGATGGCACTTACACATGCAGATGTACGTCACTGGATTGTTTTTGTTCTCTCGCATACTCTTTGATTAGGCTCATTCTATGCCTAATTCCAGTTGAAATTGCCGTCGTCTTCTTATTTCACTGTCTTGCCTGGACCGGTTGTTTCTCAGTTGTTCAAGCTCAAGTCTCTTTTCACCCGTCTTCGTGCCTATATTCGCCTGTCCACGGCGACCTCTCTGGGCATCATCAAACATCATGTCAGTATTCACGTGTCTCGTGCAACGCGCGGGAGGCTTGAGTATGATTGCACTCAGTGCTCTCTGCTACTGGGTTGTCTCCAGGGACTCGAACCTCGAGCAGCAACAATACAGTCACGAACAGCCCGGTGGTCAAGTCGCATATCACTCTCCAGTATCGACTATAGGCGCAGGCTCCTGGACTTATGTCTTCGCATATTACTGTCTCTTTGTTCACATCCTTGTTTGCATCTTCCCTCTCCGCGCATGCTGGACAATATGGAAACTCACCCAGTCTATGAAACGAGCGGCGCGTAGTGATTCGCTACTCGATTTGAAGAAGCTTGCCTCACGTCATGACTCATACGCTTCAGCTTCGAGTTCCGAAACTCTTATATCCAGTCGCATCAGCACTAGTTCCTCTACAGCCAGTGAAGCTGGTGATTGCGATCCCGAATTCTACACGGATGGTGTCCCGGGGGCCAACGACAACGTGGTCCATGTCATTATCATTCCAAACTATAAGGAAGAGGTTGACACGCTGAGAGAAACACTCGACGTCTTAGCATCTCATCCACAAGCTCACTACTCTTACGATGTAAGCCCTTTTGGTGTGTGAGCTGGACTTAAGTTTCTAACCTATTTTGAAAGGTATATCTTGGTATGGAACAACGAGAGAACACCGCCGAATCAAAGGCTCTCGGTCTGATCCAGGAATTTGTAAAAAAGTTCCGATTTATCGATTTTACTCTTCATCCGTCAGATATCCCCGGGGAAGCTGCTGGGAAGGGAAGTAACATCGGATGGGCTGCTCGTAAACTGAGCGAGAAGTACCCAGCAACCATTAGGGGCAATATTATTGTTACTGGTATCGATGGTACTTAAGTCCCCTTTCCTGGCCTTTTGCATTCTCATATCTAATGTTTCACTAGCCGACAGTCATCTTTCGTCGAGTTACTTTACAATTCTGGCAAACATGCACTTATCGTACTCGGCAACAGCATTGACGACTGTTTACTCGGCCCCTATGATTTTCGATCGAAACGCGCATTCTGTCCCAGCTGTCGTTCGCGTTGCCGACATTCTGTGGGGCGCTGCTGGAATGTCTGGCTTATATCCCGGCTCGTCTATCGCACCGCCCACCTCAGTTTACTCTCTTCCACTTGATCTGATCGATCGAGTTGGCGGGTGGGATTGCGGTAGCGAGGCTATTGGCGAAGATCTACACATGTACATCAAGTGCTTCTTCGCTCTCAACGGTAACCTGACAAGTCGGGTTATCTACAGCCCTATTAGTCAGAGTAATGTTACTGGTGGCGGCGGCCTTTTGAAAGATGCCCGAGCCCGGTACAAGCAGGCTCTCCGTCACATGTGGGGTGCTCTTGACACAGGTTTCGCTCTTTGTAAGCTTGTTCAGCTATGGAAAGATCGGAAGCAAACCTGTCGAGCCTACCAGCCGCTTCACTACACACTCTCAGACACCAACAACGCCGCCATTCCCGAGACTTACATGAATGATGAACAAATTGATCATCCCTATATCGACAATGGCATCTTTTCTAGTATTCAGAAGGATACTGTCGAGCAACCTCATTGGAAGCGGATCTTCTACATGATGCATCGCCTTTTTGAAGCCCATTTTCTCCCAGTTCACATGGCCATTCTGGTTGTTGCTTCCGCACTGTACGTCAAGCTCACAGAAAACAACAATGATCCAAGGAACCTGGCTTGGATTTTTAGCTGGTGTAACATCATCCGCATCTATGGTTTCTTTCAGATTGCGATATACGTGTCTTTATACGAGAGTTACCACCAGGCAGGAGTATCGAGTCGCGAGAGGGAAATGGTCAAGGCTGGTTTGGCTGATGGGATGGACTTTTCCAGGCGATCTCTCAAGAAGAATTGGCATGATTACCTTGCCGTTCCGATTGTCGCTCCGTTATATGGTACCATTCCCAGTGCCCAGGCTCTGGTCTGCCAGCTTTGGGGTCAGGATCTGGTTTACACCGTGAGCAAGAAGGCTACTAGGCGACAGATACCTGTCGTTAAAGTGGACGATATGGCGTAAGATATTAATGGGATGAGAAATTACTGAGTAATAAAGTCATGATGGATGCACGGTTTATAATAGGCATGGAAATGAATGGCCACCACACGGGAATGATCTAGAATATATTATCAATAATGTTAGCTGTTAATAGTGTCGGGTAATGGTACTGGTATATCGATATAAGACAATGCAAGAAAGTAGTGCCTACACCCGTGTCCCTTCAGAATCGGCGATTCAATCACACCCGGATCAGGTGGAGTCTTTCCGGTGCCGAACCACTTCGGATGTTAAGGTTGGGTTGACCAATGAGAAGCAAGCCGGGCGACAAATGCAGTATTCGGAGACATTCTTTGTTGTATCACTCAAAGATATTTCCTTTTCAAGGCGGATTGTAAGTGGAAAGAATGGCGGCAGGAATGCATTCAACTGAATATTTAAAACGTACACAAATCAGCTCTTCAAGGACACAATTTGTTGTTCTGTACCAAAAACCCCCTTGTTCATACTGTATCTATCATACAACTTTTGGTTGAAACATGTCTTCAAAGCAGCTACGTATCGGCGTTTTCATGCCATCGAGCGTACAGCTTCTCGACCTCGCAACTGTCGACGTGCTCGCCACTATGTCTAGTGAATACCTCGGCGTCATTCCTCTACCTTCTCATGTTAGCAGCATGGCACCTAGCACCAATATCACGTACATCACATCGCCGAAGCTCTTCCCACACGTGGATCTGACAGCTAATCTATCCGTTCGCGCAACACATACATACCAAGATGATGATGTTATGCCGGGAAAGCTAGACATCGTCGTTGTTCCTGGTACAGAGCCAGGTGATGTTTTCGAGGAGGAGGCAAAAAAGTGGCTGAGAGATCAGTTCAACACTGAGGGGGTTGACGTGCTGTGCGTTTGTACGGGCGTTTTCCTATGTGGTGCAGCAGGCATACTCGATGACAAGAGTGTGAGCGGACCTCGAGGGTTACAAGATGATCTAAGGAAGAAGTATCCGAATACCAAGTTTGTGGGGGAAAAGTATAGGTGGATTCAGGATGGTAACTTGTGGTCAAGCGGTATGTTTTTATTCGAGTGCCAAGTAACAAGTACATAAACTGACAAAATATCCAGGTGGAATAACCAATGGCAACGATATGATGATTGCATATGCCTACGCCAACAGCAAACACTGGCCAGCGTCTGTTGTTAGTATGGGTGCCATGCTTACAGATGTAGGTGATCGACCACAAGTGTATGATCAAGGTCAGAAGAAGTTCTTTTTAACGATGGCGTGGCATATTGCACGCTCTTGGTTTTCGAGTTTGATGCCAATGAGAAGAGGATTGAGCAAGATGGACTAGAAAGGTTAAATACTTCCTGAGGTAGATGACAAGGTGTTTTAAAGCCAGGAAGGATAGATATGTCACGTTTGGTAGTTACCCTGTAATGATTGAGTTAGTAGGGGTATTTTGACAATAATAGGTACTTAAAACAAAAAGGTTTTCCCATATACTCTTATTAGCTGCTATTTTCCCTCACATACTTTAGACTCGGCCTGTCCGTTGACTCATTATTGTCTTTTCGTCTGAGTATCTTGAGGCTCTCGTTCTTGCCTCCAGCTAGTCTGTGGAGTCTGCGGCGGGAAAATCTGCACTAAAGCGGGTACCACATGTTGTTGCTGCGACAGCGACCGCCCCGTCCAGATAAGGATTCTTATCGCCGCGTTTGATTGGTAAGATGTGATGTATCTAGTGGGGCTATTTCTCGAGCCCCGAAAAAAATTTCGAAGCTCTGGAGGATGCTTCTCGATTCTTAGTTTTCTCTTTTGTAGTGAACGAGAGTTTTAACAAATCTTCAACCCAACACCATCTCTTCATCTTTTCTCCCACATCCTAATTCTTTATCCTACCTCTTCATTCCCTTTATACACCTATATTATTCTTGATCCAAAAGTAATCTCACAACCGTCACAATGTCTGCTGTTCCTGGTCCCGTTTACGGCCTCGAGGTCCCGCCTGGCGAGATCTTGATTCCTGCCGCCATGGAGTTTCCTGCTTCTGTAAGTTCATCTCCTCGGGCCTTTGCGACGCTCTTGATGTGATGCGATGTGCCTGCTCGGCCGAGCTCGCTTCTAGTCGCTGGCGCATCATTTGCGACGCCGCCCGTCTTGCCAACTAGAGGCCCGAATTCTAACCAGAAAATCTTGCAGTTCCGCATCACCATGGCTGCCGTGGACCCCACCGAGGAGCCTGAGGCCGATGGCGAGGGCAACATCCCTACCGTTCCTCGCTCTACCCTGCGCCTCGTCAAGCGTGCTCTTCCTGGCCTCGATGAGGATGAGGATGATGAGATTGACGACGAGTACCTGAAGGCTCTTCTTGCTGGATCTGACGACGAGGAGGACTCCGATGAGGAGGCCAACGGTGGCCCCAGCGACCCTGCCAAGGCCAAGAAGCAGCGACAGGCTGCTGCCATCAAGAAGCTTCTCGAGTCCGCTCAAGAGGAGTCCGACGACGAGATGGAGGATGCCAAGCCCAATGGCAAGCCCAATGGCAAGGCCAAGGGCAAGGCTAAGGCCACCGAGGAGTCCGACGAGGATGAGGATGAGGACTCCGACGATGACAGCGAGGACGGTGCCGACCTTGAGAACTTTGTCATCTGCACTCTCGACACCGAGAGGGTAAGTCATACACTGAACACGATGAGTGCAGCCAACTAACTTAGTATCAGAACTACCAACAGCCTCTCGACATCACCGTCAACCACGGCGATAAGGTCTTCTTTGTTGTCACCGGTTCCCACACTGTCTACCTGACCGGAAACTACATCATGGACGATGATGAGGATGACGAGGATGACGAGGACGAGGATGAATACGATCTCTCCCCCGATGAGCTCGAGTACGGCCTCGAGGGTGAAGACAGTGACGCCAGCGACGACCTCGATGGACTTGAGGACCCCCGTGTCCAGGAGATCGACACTGACGAGGAGGAGGCACCTAAGCTCGTTGCCGCCAACAAGGGCAAGAACAAGCGCGCCGCTGAGGAGGCCGAGGGCCTTGACGAGCTCATCACCAAGGATGATACTAAGCTCTCTAAGAAGCAACAGAAGAAGCTCAAGAACAACAAGGGCGAGGCTGTCGCTGCCGAAGAGAAGAAAGACGCTAAGAAGGTTCAGTTCGCCAAGAACCTTGAGCAGGGTCCTACCGGTTCTACTGAGAAGGCCAAGCAGAGCAAGGACTCCAAGCCTGCCACCGGTGTCAAGGTTGTCCAGGGCGTCACCATTGACGACCGAACCGTTGGCAACGGCCGTACTGTCAAGAGCGGCGACACTGTCGGTGTCCGATACATTGGCAAGCTCCAGAACGGAAAGCAGTTCGATGGTTAGTTCCAGTACCACTTTGCTACCGTTACAAGATTACTGACATTGCAATAGCCAACAAGAAGGGTAAGCCTTTCTCCTTCAAGGCCGGTAAGGGCCAGGTTATCAAGGGCTGGGACATTGGTGTCATCGGCATGGCCATTGGTGGCGAGCGTCGTCTGACCATCCCCGCCCACCTCGCCTACGGCTCCCGTGGCCTCCCTGGCATTCCCGCCAACAGCACATTGATCTTCGATGTCAAGCTTCTGGAGATCAAGTGAGTGTAGCAACTGCTATGATTTCTACCAGCCTGAGTTGCCGACTCGACACCAGCCTCGTATAATAATACCCCCTAAAGAGCGGTGGCAGAAAGCAACAAGTTGATGACACGGAGATGCCTGCCCTTTTCAGGCTTCGATATATCGTCTGCTACGCGATCGATATCGTGCTGCATGAGTATAAGGAGCTTTGAACCTGTACCCTCTGCAAAGAGCCAATGTTTTATGCAAAAACATGAGGGGAGCAGTTTAGGCGGCAATCAGTTATGATGGGGCGAGGACCGTCTTGTGTTGCATGATGAATTGGCGTACGATAAAAAGGGTCATTGTTTCTTTTTGCTATTGATTGTGGGATTTCCCTCGTATCTGGAATGATATCGTAGAGTTGAGCAGATAAAATGCTATTTCCTTCCTCTTCATCTCATGATTTGATGTTTGGTCTCTCTTTCCGTGAATTGTGTAGAACCCTGAGCTGGAGCATTGGAATATCAACATGGCAAGTGCAGCTGAGGAAGTCACAGTGACTGGCCCAAACCAGACCAAGCCTTCTCCTATCTACATGAGTTGCCTGGTAGATATCATCTCTACCAAGTCACATTCAGCATGTAATATGCCTACTCTGGCATAAGCAACGCTGTCGTGACCACACGCTTCGGGTGTCATTCTCTTCAGAGTACGGTTATTACATCAATTCATTAATCACGTCTTGCTTTCTTATTCGATATTGATGCAGCAATAACTTTCTTTTCATTACTTAATCTGTAGCATCATGGCACAAACGCTTCTAAAAAAGGCTAGCCAACAGTTCATACGACTTTCTTCGTGCGATTCGAAAAATGCACTCGAACCGCCACCGGACTCTGAGTTAAATGGCCCCGAAGACCCCGATGTGCAGCATGGCCGAAAACTCGACAACGTTGCCTCGAAAAGATGGAAGCCTCTTCGCAGTGCTTTCAGAAATTTGAGAATCAGTGGACGGAGTGGCAGGTTATCTGTTTGTCCTCGCTAATAGCTTGATCTAACTTTCCTAGTTATCGAGACATCAAAGGATTCAAAACCACCCACGGAGGACCAAATCAAGGCTCATCAGTTGACAAAATATGCCTTACGACATGGATCCGCGGCGAAGAGCCCTAATTCGAAGGAAACACTTCCAAAATCGCATCTGAACCCTGTAGCCATGACCTCCAATTCGACCTTGGTGATTCGAACTACTCCAAAAAGGGCACGAAGTTCTCTTCAGCCATTGAACATCATTTCATTGAGTGACTTGGAAACCCCTTCTTGCTCTGAGGCAAGTGCTATACCCTCATCGTTTCAGGAAGAGTCAACAGCCAAGACATCGATTGAATCTTCTCCTTCGCAGCAATATGATGCAACATCCGATAGGCGCTACAATAGGCGGAATCCATGGACTCGCTCCAGCCCTGAAGGTCGAGCACTCACCACTATTCCAGAAGCTGGCGTAGTCCAGGCTCGACCCACGATCGCTACTGTAGAGAGAGCCTCTGCTGCCAAGATCTTTCTCGAGACTCATTTCAACGAGCTTCTGTACAAGCCCAATGCCAGGGCCTTGAGAAATCAACATCTTGAAGCTCAGTTGCGCAGCTGCTCGCTAATGTCATTAGATGAAAAAGAGAAGATTCGGGTGCAGTACAGAATACAGGAAACCTGCCACTTGAGGGAGCTACGAGTAATGAAAGCCAACTGTATTGCTCATAAGTTGAAGGATGATTCTAGGCTTTCGGTCAACAACTACGAACCGCTACAGATTCTGGGCAAGGGAAGTTTTGGAGTGGTTAGATTGGTACGCGAGAAGCCTGCTCCAGGCCATGCTTTCCCAGGACAGGTGTATGCCATGAAGGTAATTCGAAAGTCGGAGATGATACGGAACAGCCAAGAGGGTCATCTCAGGGCCGAGAGAGACTTTCTTGTTGCCTCTGAAGGCTCACAGTGGTTCGTAAAAAGAAAGATCGGAGTTCTGGGTGCTCAACTAACTGAACTTTCACAGGGCTGTCCCATTGATTGCTAGCTTTCAGGACCCGGCAAGTCTCTATCTGGTGATGGAGTACATGCCTGGCGGAGATTTCCTTGGGCTACTGATTCGACAAAACATTTTGCAAGAACCCATTGCGCAATTCTATATTGCAGAGATGATCCTTGCTATGGAAGAGGCCCATCGCTTAAACATCATCCATCGAGACATCAAACCAGACAACTTTCTCATATCGGCGACTGGCCACTTGAAGATCTCTGATTTTGGGCTAGCATTCGATGATCATTGGTCCCATGACGCAGCATACTATAACACTCATCGATACTCACTGGTTCGAGGACTCGGCATCAACATCAAAGGCGATGAGACAGACCAGAAAAGCAACAAGGACATAATGAAACAATTCGAATGGTACCAGTCCGTCGTTTCTGGGATAGACAGACACGGAAGATATCCGTTGGCCAAGGATGGAGATTTGCGAAGCCTCATCGGTTGGAGAAATAGACATGGGATCCGCACTGGTGCTCGTTCCGTCGTTGGAACTAGCCAATACATGGCCCCTGAAGTCGTTCGTGGCGAGCAGTACGACGGAAGATGCGACTAGTAGAGCATTGGAATCATCCTATATGAATGCCTCTACGGACAGACCCCCTTTTTGGCAGAAGAGGGACGAAAGCAGACGAAACAAAACATCGTTGTGAGTATCCCAATTACATTCTAGGCGAGCCGAAGACTGACACAATGTCGCAGGAATTCAAAAAGAACTTCAATTTTCCACGCAGGCCGTTCGTTAGCGAAAAGTGTAAAGACCTCATACATTGTCTGATCCAAGACAAAGAAGAGCGGTTATGTTCGAGGAAGTACCAAACGTCATACCGTACTGGTTTTCAGGGTTCACGATTGACAGATTACTCTGGCCGCTATGTTTTCCCTGGCGACGCAGAAGACATAAAAGCGCACCGATGGTTCAAGAATACGCCCTGGGAGCGTTTGCAGTCTATGCCAGCACCTTTCACTCCCAACTTACAGAGTGATGATGATGCCCATTACTTTGACGAGTCTGAACCTTTTGAAGATTGGTCTGAGTCGATACCCTCCGGAATATACCTCAACACAGAAGATGTACGAGAACTACTGTTTGGGTTTGACACTCACGTGCAGCAGAAGGCTACAGAGCTCATCAAAGTCCCGTTCGATGCGGCCAAACTCCGAAGCATGGATCGTGATATCGATGCAGCAAAGGACCTTGAACCCAGTGAGAAGGCAACTCTGAAGCAGTTTGTCAGATTCTACGGACATAAAGAGCGCAAACGCCCACGAGACATGTTACTTCGGGACAAGAGCACGAAAAAGATATCCCTAAGGATACGAAAAGACACGGCCTTCATGGGTTATACTTGGCGACGAATGCGACCTGGGGGCTACATCGATCCGAGACCAACAGAGACGACTCCAGTCTCTGAGGTTCAAGCTGCGGTCTAAAGCGCCTTCATTCTTGTGAGAAGAAACCCCAGACGGGAAAGAGGAAAAAAGAAGCCAAAGAAAAAAGGGCACAGAAGAGATGGAGAGTAGGTGAGCGATTGGAAAGAGCGTGAGCCTCTTGAAGCTCCTGAAGGTAGTATTATGAATAGACATTAAGCATTAGGCCTTAGTGGCACCTGTACAATCATCCTATCCTCGTTCCATAAGTCATCTTAGTCTTAGTCCTATACAAAAACATCAAGTCATCAACATGATATGCAGCGTCTACTATTAGTTCCATCATTGAGATTTCGACCTTTGCCCAGAACTGTGGTATGTTTCGGACTCTGCCAATGCAACAGGGTCACCAGATACCACAGTTTTGGCGTTACGAATTTCCCATTCAAATTCTTTCAAACCACGAATCTCCCACGAAAAGAAGAGCAGGGAGAGCAGGCCATCAATAACACCAGCAACTAAGCTCAGACTGCTGATGAGCATGAGAATAAATGCGACATAATTCTCAGGGCTGAACCACACAGCAATTAGACAAGCGATCCAGATGAACAGAGCAGCAAAGAAATGCAAACCGCGCCAAAAACGCTGCTGAAATTCACGAGCGCGATACTTTTGGATCATGCCAAGAATCTCATCGTAAGTAGATGCGTGCAGCGAGTCACGGTTGGAAGAGCGGCCGCGCTTGAGCTGGGCATCTGGATTGGCTGTCTGCGCTGCGTCGCCTGAGTGTATGCTGCTGGCGGGGCTGCTGGGAGCCAGGTAGGCACCCGTCTGCAGAGCAGCAGAGGGAGTCTCGGAGCGTGGATCAACTGGAGTGGGTGCTGGAGAAGGAGTGTGCCGGGTGAGAGTAGCCTGAACAGCGAAGTGATCGGAAAGCGAACAAAGCAGGTCGGGATGCCGTTCAGTCATGGAAACGTGAGCGGACTTTACGATCCAACCAGGGGTCGTTGTTGGAGCATCGGGGTCGACACCAGTCGAGGCAAAGATATAATCAAGGCGCTGGCCTCGCGGGTCAATGGTGTCGGGTGGAACTTCACAAATATCGCCCTTCTTGAGGCGGTTCTGCTGATTCTTGTTCCAACGCCATGTGTTGTAGACCGAGTTACTAGTTACTCCATTCTCGAGAAGGTTGAAGTCGGCTGTTGGTAACGGCCGGTGGCGATCCTGCTCAGAAGGATGGTACGCGGGACCGAGAGAGCTGTCCGGATGTAGTACGCGCCAGACATCGCGAACAGGTGCGTGCCCTGTGATGACGCGATGATATATGGACAATGGAAACATGTTGAAATCACCCATACCAACAACAAGATGTCCACGTTCGGCAGCACCACGCAAAAGCTTCGACATTTCCCATGACTGAGCAACTTGATGACAACTGTACGTACTCACGGGTTCAGGCTCGTAGGGGGCGTGAGTCTGATCTGAATTAGCGAAGAGTCACAACCCAACAAACCAAGACGACTTACATGTGTGTTGAAGACCTCAACAATGTCTTTTCGTTTCGGCCCAAAGCGAATTTTTGCACACGCGATACCCTTGCCTACGTACCAGTCTCCTCTCCAAAAAGCGGTCGGGCGTCCATTGAGGGGATATTTGAACATGGTACTCTCCTCGATAGGCCAGTGACTCAAGATGGCGAGGCCGCCTCCGAAAGCACCACTATGATAAAACTTTCCATAGGGAAGAATCTGACGGGTATGGTGACGGATAGCCTCATAATCCTCTTGAGTGAAACATTCTTGCAAAGCCACGATCTGCGGTGTAGGCACAGCGTGTGCGATTCTGCGACCAATTTCGTCCAGTCTCGCGTTACGTTGCGTCGAAATGTAGCGAAGGCCCCAGCAGTTCAGGGTTAAGAGATTAATGTTGGAAGGAGCATTCTGAGAATCATTGTGGTCGACGACTATGGTAGAAGGCGACGTGACATGCTCAGAGGCGTCACTTGCCGTGACCATGGCGCCGGTAGAGTATGCGGAAGTAATGGTGACTGATGTCTCCCAAGTGTGAGAGGGAAAAAGATCGAGACCGCAGATGAAATTTAGATAGACATGTATTCTTACATGCAAAGTTAGAGTGTAAGATCTGCAGATGGAAAGATTGAATTCAGGTGGCGCAATGCCTCGGTTGGGGATATTAGTTAATTACGGTAACAACGCCAGCGAGGTGTAACCGCTGTTAGTGGAAAGGCTAGTTGGTAGGCGTCAGGAACGATTAGTGTCTGAGAGCCACGATCAATGATTGATTTAGAAGATAAAGGCAAAAAGAAGGTGATGCTAAAGAAAAGGAGCCTGGATGTAGTCAAGACGCGTGACGCGCTGAGAAGTTGTAGATGTTAATTTACTCCAATGCCCAATAAAACCAATCTCATGGCTCCTTCTTGTTTGGGGACGACTATCGGTAGTTACGGTGGCTTGGGGAAGGAAATCGTCCGGACTGGGCCTTCCATTTGAAAGAGGGCCCGACCACTAAAATGTGTGGGGAACACCTACCGAAAGTGCCGAAAGTTTACATGGAACATGGAAGGTGCAGAGGAGTAGGTATGGAATAGACTCGTCAAAATATCCCATGCATGTAGAATATAATCTGGATATATGGGATGAGGATGATAAAGATCTACCCTGCAATCGAAACAAATAGACCTCGTGTATCGAAACATACCCCGGCCTTCACAGTCTATGAGTAAGTAATAGCACAGAAGTTTCTAGGAACCTGTCAGTGTCGCGCCATACCTCATCCAGTACTTAGCTCAAGGTACAGCTCCTGTCAGGGCTCCATGTACACCCTCAGAGCCTCATAATTGGTAGGTACCCCTCATCGAACCCCGAAGTCAAAATGCGTCATTCTTTGTTCGTAGAAGCATCTCGTATAACCTGGCCACCTTTAGAACACATTGCTGCCATTTCATTTTCCTGTCTATATGTTGATAATTTGCTCTGTCTATGCTTGTATCATCATTGTGGACGAAAAACCAGCTTCAAACTTCACATACCTTCTCATAGTACAATCCCAAACAAACGCTGCACATGCAATGGCGGCAGTCTTTGAATCCCTTCTCATCAGGTTTAAACCCGTCCTTGTTGAACATGCTGAATCGCCTCCGGCCTCTTTCTCCTCCGTGACCGACCACCTCAAGTCCATCCCGGGCGTCGAGTCCGTCTATCTCGGTCGCCCTCTGGAGAAGCCTGACTACTGGTTTCTAGGCATTCGCTGGGCCTCGCGTCCTGCCTATGACGCCTTCGTCTCCGGCTCTGCAGCTACCGACTGGCATGCTTCTTTGCGTGCTCTGGTGATTGGCCATCCCATCGTCAGCTCAATTGCAGAGTATACAGGTCATGCTGAATCTGCTTTGCATGCGCCCATCACTGAAATATGTACATGCTGGGACATTGATCACACCTTTACAGAGGACAATATGAAGCCATTCGCTTTGGCTTGTAGTGAGGGCAAGCTGGCAGGTCTTCATGGTCTGGCATATGGCGAGTTTGTTCAGGGAGAACATGAGGACTCTTCGGTCATCCCTGGTCGTGCATCAAGGTTATTGATGGGCTGGGACAGCAAAGAAGCCCACTTACAGCACAAGAACAGTGGAAGTGGTAAGTTTGCCACGAGAACCAACATACCATGGCAACAAACTAATGGCATCAAAGCAATCGATGATAATATTTACTACCTGCTTGCTAAGAATAAGAGTCTCGAGATAGTAAGTGCTTTGACCATGGTCTTGGAATCTCCTTTGATAACTAACACCACATCAGTATCATGTGCCGCTCCAGAAGCTTTGATTAGGCACATATCCTGAACATCGACTGAGTTGACGGGGTATGTCACTCTAAAGCTCCGTCTGAAGAATTATGTCTCTCTTTTGTAAATACCAAAGTCTCATTGAATTAAGTAAGGAACAAAAAATAAAACTGAGAATACGCCTTTGAAATCAAGAACATTGAAAGCTGCCACTCTGCCAAACAGCTCCGTCTTGTTTCCCTTTTCGTCCCGATAAAATGCGAACCCATCCTTTGACACCATTTCTATGCCGCTCAACCATCCGATGACCTTTCCTCATCCCTACTCAGTTTCGCGATCCGTCAGGGCTGTGGATCGGCATCGAATCGCTGGCGACTTCTCAAACTTGTCGCCGGAACCATTTACCTCTTCGATACTGCCTTTTCTCTCAGAGACAGAACCCATTGCATCCTCCTTTTAGCTTCTTAATATCCCAGTAAACAACACTGTATTCATCGTATTCCGTAGATCGCTCGAAGGTTGTCGCATTGGCGTTGGAGGACAAACTAAACGCGGTGTTTTTCCGATTCTGTTAAGTTGACAAGGTTAGAAGCTTAGTTGGTGCTGGATCTGTTTTGAACCTCACCAAGTCGAGAGTAAAGCATGTAAAGAGCCATGCGGTTGCATTCCTCAGTGCCAGTGATAGTCACAAGTCGTTCGTTACTGTTATCTTGCGGTTCGTTAATCTTAATCACGCTGTTGCTCATTTGTCGTATCTCATTGATCTTCTGACCGCCCTTGCCGATAATAGCACCGACCATGTCATTCGGAATATAAATCTGCTGGGTAATGGGCCCGCCGGGGATCGCGCCGCCCATGGGCTGAGCCTGAGGAGCACCACCATGTGGTTGAGGACCTGTGTGAGGAGGCATGTGAGGCTGAGCGTGGGGAGCAGCACCGTATGCACCTCCTCCTTGCGCACCGCCGTAATGCATAGGGATGGCAGGGTTAGCTTGAGGGGCTGCATGAGGGGGGTACTGTTGAGGGTAGGGCGCAGGTGGCATGTGATGAGAACGACGGTCGTTGTGGCGGCCATAGTTCTCACTTCGACCATAGTGACCTGAAGAAGGTTGAGGCGAGTATGGGACAACCTGCATGCCTCCTGGAATTGAACCAGCAGGGGCTCCGCTTCGTGTCGCGTACGCGGATGCAGCAGGACCTCCAAACCTATCGTTTAGCTGCTCGAGAAGAGTGCTACCAACATAGTATGTTGCGATGTGAACAGCATCAGCAACACCCATAACGACCAGAGATCGTTCGCTCGACATAGGTAGACAGGAATCAGACGCGTTCAATCGGGCACCAGAAGCTTCCTGGATCTCGCGAATACGAGCGCCACCCTTGCCAATGATAGAACCGATTAGAATATGTGGAATTAGTAGTCGCAGAGGATACGTCTTCGAGGATGCAGTTGAGGATTCGTTGAGGGGTTCGTTGTTCAATGTTCGGATGATCAAACCAAAAGCCTAACTCACGTTAACGGAAAAAATCAATGGATTCGGAAGAGATCGGTATACCTTAGCCACAGCGTCCACTATACCGCTGACAGTAAGGATGCGTTCGACTGCTCCCTTCTGGTAGTCACTGACAGTGCACTTGGCGTTTGACAGCTTCCTAATGTTAGAGACGTTCTCGCCTCCCTTTCCAATAACAGTAGCGGCCTCCGGGCTAGAGATAACAGCCCGAACATGAATCCAGGAGGTCTCATCGTGGGCGGCGGCAGATGTCACGGCATTGGACGAAGAAGCAGCAACAGTTGCGGCAGCCGAAGCTTTGACGTCGGATGCTGGATCCAGGGCGGTATCGTCGTCGTCTTCAGACTTGGAGGCCCCATTGACCTTATCGTCGTGGTCATCCGCAGGAATGTCGACGGGAGCTTCAGGGACCTCGACATCGTCGTCGTCGTCGTGCTTGATCTTGTCGAGAGCAGGTCGCTTAGCGTCAGGTTGATCACCAGAGCGCGAAGGCGAGGAGGCTTCTTCCAAGGGGCGCTTGGCCGACTGGGTGGGCTGAGTAGGAGAAGCAGACATTTTTGTTGTAATTGGTATGTTCACACGAATTTAGTCCTTTAGACACAGTCGAGAATTTGAAACGTTTCGTTCTTTTTTATTGCTTGTCTTATATACACTCAGGGGTTTTCGAAGGAAAACGTGCTGGTGTAGTGACTTTCGCAGGGTGCGCGCTTCGGTGAAGTATTCGTGAAGTGACTGGTGTCGCGCAAGGACGGTACGTGTTGCGGGCTGAATTGAATTGAATTGGATTGGATTGAATGGAAGGAGAAGGGATTCGAGTCTCGTGTGTTTGGAGGACGGGTTCCAGAACTCTTTCAGCGGGTGTCAAATTGGTACCCGGGAAATCTCCTAGATTGCTTTGTAGGCGGGAGAGAGAAAGGGCGGAGATGATGATCTCGTGATGAGGATGTTGAACGGTTGTGAGGAGATTGTGAAGCGATCGATACTGGGATGGACGGACTTCCTTTAAAAAGCAAAAAGAGGCAATGCTCAGCTCAAACCTTCTGACTGCAGCGGAGACTCGAGGTTTATCGATCGCAATCTATCCGTAGCTCGAAGCGCGGGAGCGGGTTTCGATAGGTTGATATCTCGTCGCGAACTGTCGAAAGACGAGAAAGGGACAGGCTCTCTCAATGTATCGGGGCGCGGTGTTTTAACTTAGTATATAGACTAAGTTAGGTTGTCGCAAAGGACCGATCCTGGGAAAAGAAGGTTAAGAGAGAAGAAAGAAAAAAGTAACCCTCAAAAAACGCGATTATGAACAATCGCCGAGAATGAACAAGACGAAAAATCTTACGAGGATAAAAAGGGAAGGGGGAGGAGAAGGGGGAAAGGATACGACACGACAAGAGAGGTCGATAGGTGCTCTTGAGTTGGGGTGAGGAGATTGGGAGAAAGCGGGAGAAGCAGCCCTGCGAGGATCCATCAGATGGAGAATGCTGAGAACGGGTCACGTGCATGGCGTCCATTGAAGAAGCTTGGGCCCTGCAGCGTTCTTACCCACTGAAGGTGAACTCCACAATCAGTACCTTCCTACAGTGCTATATCATTAACAGTTGCCTGCGACTTAACAATAGGGAAGTAATTAGGAGACAGAGCTTTGGAGCTCATATTTTATTCGTAGCTCATATTTAATTTGTTACTTTCATAAGAAATACTAGAAAATTGCAAAATTTAAACACTATTACGATTGAAGGTACGAAAAGCCACGACAGACAAACAAACACCAACACCTTTGAGACGCGCCCACAACTTCTATTGGCTCCTCTTATATATATTAATACTCGTTTATCCCAGCCGCGCCGAGTCTCATAGCAAACATATCTTGTTCACAGCTGAATTGTCAAATCATATCATTCCCAGACAAGGTCTCGAACTATGGCATCACAGGCATACACAATCAGTCTCGACCAAACCTTACGGGAGCTCCAGCAACAAGTCCGCAAACATGAGGAAGAGCTAGAAAGGGTATGGGCTCGCATGGTCTCTGAGACGTTGTCATATACTAATCTCGAAAGCTTCGTTCAAATGAACTGCGTCTCCCAGAGTCGGTGGCGGGTCAAACGCGGGTCATCCAAGCAGCGTTCAAAGAAGTGACAGAGTCAGACCCCTTTCTCCCATCACCAGACTCTTTGCTACCGGCGCTGCTAGCTCTGCGTAGATCCCACCAAACAGTTCAAGAATCGAATATCTATCTCGATTCTCAGCGCTCAACACATGAGCAGCTATCGCGCCGGCTTGAAGCTGATGAGGCGCGTCTCAAAGACCAAAACCTTCTTGGTGATGCACTGACCGCGCGAATACAATCACTACGCGATGAAGTGGATGCAAGCACCAATGTCACTCCAGGAGAGGGCGCAAAGGAACAACTACAAGAGCTCAGAGCGAAAAAGAAGAACTTTGATAGAGATACTACCAAGCTCATGAAAGTTCTGCTTCAGTTTATCGCCAATCATCTGGCGCCTATGCTTGCAGCGGAAGAGCTGGGTGGGCCAGTTGTTGGCGATCTTATGGATGTCGACGGAGAAGCTTTGGCTGCTGGGTTCAATGCTCAAGGAAAGCTTAAAAACCAAAAGGAGGCTGCCGACAAAGACGACAAGAGGCAGCGCAGGATTGACGAGATCTGGGGTCAAGCGGCTGTTGAGGGATCTGGGCGCCAAAATGAGGTCACGGCAGCAGCGGCAGAAATGAGGCAGCTCACAGAGGAGCTTCTTAACACTCTTTCTGAAGCTCAGGGTGATAACTCTGCATCCTACGTACAACTGTCGCGTGAATCAGCAGCTGCGCGATTCTTGGTGAGATCCAAAATTGCGCAGTTTCACCCAAGAGATGCGATGAGGCTCAGACTGGTCGATTTCGGACGAGATCTCGAAACTTGAAGATAGATAGTATTTTGGATGAGGATCTCTGGTAAGCTGTTAATATTGGACAGCACATCTCTATGCGAGCCGCAATATCAATTCCTCTGACACAGCGTATATACCTTGATAGGGTACTACTAATGGTAGGCACTTCGTGTACGACGGCATGTCATGTCAAGCGTATTTAACCACCAAAAGAAATATGAACAGACCCTATAAATACACAATTAATTGACGCCTTTCCCCAGTGTTCTCTACCACATTGTATCTATTCTTAGCCATTTCTACGCCTAACCAGCCATGCCAGCTCAGCCTATACAGAACACACCGTGGGACTTCTACATGGCCTTCGCCTGGTACTGTGTCACTGGCGTCCTCAAGCAGTCCAAGTTTCTCACCAGCTGCAGCTCAGCCGCCTTGCTTTTCACGAGATGCACCTTTGTCTCGTTTTCCCGATCCTCGGCCTTCATATCACCCGTCGTGCGCTCAACGACCTTCTTCATACCCTCGCACGTCTTGGACAGAACCTCATGCATACTGCCCAAGACCTTTTCCGCCGCTCGCGCAAGCGGAAGTTCAGTGGCCGACATAGAATCGTCGCTGAGCCAGCTAGCCGTGTGGCGCAGATTCTCGTTGGCGTTGAAAACAGCCTCGCGCATACGAATCACCATGAGGGCGCCAAACATATCGCCCGTGCCGCTGAAGTAGCAGTTGATTGATGGGAAGACGATCTTAAAAAAGCGTGCTTGACCGGTGGATGTCATGGTGGAACCGACCACTGAAAGGTGCGACGGGGGGTGATCTGGTGCCTCAAGATTGACCGATGTAATGACGACGTGAGGAACTTTGTACTTGTCGTGAAGAACCTGTATAGCCTTTCGGAGGCTGTCCATGTCGTTGATCTTAACCTCTGAGAGCAACCTTGTTCATGGTTAGCGAATGACTTGCGAATCACATACCATGCCACAAAAGCTTCAGAACGTACTCGGCCTCGAACTGGTTTGGGAGGATGAGATCAGCATCATGGATGAGTCTCTTGTAAGCGGGCACAACTTCCGGAGAGACGTAGATCTTTCCATTGTCACCCATGACGGGGTCAAGAGCCCAGAAAAACTTTCCCGGTGTGTCCCTAGATTTGTCCTTGAGCTCTCGGCCTATCTTTCCGACGGCATCAACGGCTTCAGCGCCTGGGATGTAACCAGAGAGCATCACGTCAAAGTCATCCAGGTACGACTGTTTCAGTCCATCCCACAAGTCCATAATCTCTTGCGCTGAGACTCTCGTTCCCTTCCATTGCCTGTATCCAGTATGGTTGCCTTTTTGGGTAAAATTGTATTTTAGATACTATTTCATTCCTGTCGTGTGGATTGTGTAAACTCACTGAATTGGACTGTGTTCAGGGCTGCGACATCACATCCTAGAGACTGCAGCACAAAGACGGCAATTTTGTTACCCACGTAACTAGGACTCGTCAATTTCTCTTTGTTTCTGCGATGAAGATAAGACTTACCCAGAGACAACCTATAAAGACCTATGGTTAGCTTTGATTGAACGTACGACAATGAGCTCGTCCAAGGTTACGTACATGGCTTGCCACCGCGAGAACCCGCGTATCCGGTATAGACATGATGAAGAGATAAGAAACAATTAGAAGATATTTCTATTTGTTTCTCAACAGTGAATGAGTTTTGTAAAGATAGGCGAGAGTGAACTCAGCCAACGACGTCTTTGAGTCGTAAAGAGAGACGTCACTGGACAAACCCTCTTGTTCTACGTCAGTAAATAGGCGTAGACTTTTAGAATGGTCTATCTCCAAAATTCGGTAGTTATAATGCAGAGTCTTATAAGGAGAAACGGGACAAAGTATAAAAGAGAAAGGGAAAAGAGTCTTGAGTTTGACCAAGAAGTCGAGGGTAGTTCTAGAACTCGGTTGCGGCGTCTTTGGAGCTGGATGCGCTTATTAGTCACGAGTCTAAATCTAAGAAATTTGACTCAAACTGGGGATGACAAGCCGGACTTGATACGAATTTGTACAACACAAGTATCGAAGGCTTGCTTACCTTGACTCTATCTATCTGTTCCGACAAGTAACAGGATTGAATTACTCAAACTGGTACTTAGTAATAATGATTCTCTAGACTTTGGAATATGCCATTGAGTCAACGGCCAAATGTTGCTAGTGAGTTCTATTTAATCTCGTGCCCCGCCAGCCTCCGATAAACTGCCCCGCATCAAGACTCAGTCACTACTATGTACGAATGGCTTCATGAATTTATCATGGTGCTATTTGATGTGAGATGTTAGTGGAATTGAAGCAATGACTGGCTTTCATACCTCTACTCTAGGCTGGGAAATGCTGGGCGGATATGCTCATACAAGGCAAGATAACAAAGACATAGGCCGATATTAAAATTTATCAACAGCCCCGAGGGCTAATATCATGACACGAGAGCTTCAATCCAAAAGAACGGTTTTATAGATTCATTATCGTTCGTCAACTGGATCTTCCTATCTAGCCTATTCGTATTCACTCCGCCACTACTCGCACATACCTCGCGAGATGCCCGGAAAGCCTCTGATTGAGCAGATGTGACTCTTGGTATCCTTATTTCTTGCATGTTCTCCTATCACACATGCTCCATCACAACTACTTGACCATATCCTTTTAAACACAAACGCCAAGCTCGTTTTCATGTAGTAGGACAGTATCGCACTATACAATGGTAGCCGTCTAATCGTCTTCACCAATCTTGGGAGCGAGGTAGAATCGGAGGTGGCTTTGGCCGGAGATCTCGTACTCCACCAACAGAGGGACTTCGTTAGAGAGGCAGATGCTGACATAATCAGACAGACCAGCAGCCTTGCAGAAGTTGACAAGGTACTTGAGGGAGAATGCAAGGGAGACGGGCTCGTCCAGCTTAATATCTACATTCTCCTTGGGCTTGTCGAGATTGGTGTTGCTTCGGAGGGTAACGGAGCCATTGCCAATATCGCCGGTGCATGAAAACTTGACACCGTCCTTGGAAGCATCAATCTGGACTGTTGAAGCATTTGTTAGATAACAGGCAAAAACGGCAAAAAGAATGGCGAGAAACTAACCTGCTTCTGACATGGCCATGAGATCTGTGCAGATACGTCGGAACTCCATGGAGGGCATCTTGATGGTGGCAGCATACTCGGTATCGGGGATACCCAAGTGCTCCTGGTCAATGTCCATGAGCTTGAGGTCGTACTCGCTGATACGGTCGTTCTCAACGTTCTCGAACTGAAGGTTCAGCACATCAGGGCCATCCTCAGCCTTGAGTGTGAGGACGTCCTCGTTCTGGGCAGCGCGCAGGACTTTGGTGAGAGATGCGAGGTTAACACCGAGGGAGATATTACGGTCGCAGCGGTAAGGAGAGAAGGACTCGGCGTTGAGCATCATGGAGACGAGAGCAACGTGGGAGTTGTCCATGGCCTGAAGTTGAAGGCCTGTGTCATTGCAGTCGAAGTTGCAGTCCTGCACCAAATCCTTGATCGCATCGACCACCTTCTTGAAAAGGGAGGCCTGTTCGAGTCGTGCTTCCAACATTTCTAATACGTCTGTTAACTGTCTGTTGATGTAGTTTTTCAGGTGGTGCACAGAGCTGCCACGCAGATGGAAATGGAAAAGGGCGGGGTGACTGTTGCTAGGGGACTTACTGTGTGAGTGTGAGAAAAAATGATGATATGTAAGGGAGTAGACAAGGGACCGGTTAAAAGAAGACAAAGAGATTGATCTGGATGGTGTTATTTGGGTAGTATGTATGAATAGAGGAAAAGAGAAGATGGAGTTGTCTGGGTGAATTTGCAGAAAGAAAGAAAGATGCAGGTGGTAATGGATGGCCTTTACCTTCCCTTAGCTTAGGCTAGTCGGTCGCGAAATTGCTAGGCTACCGCACTTTGCTACGGAACAGCTCCATATCAAGGTGGGTAGTCACTTAACGCGCCACCCTCTCAACGATACGCGACGCGTCTTCTTGGAGCTCCTATCAAAGAGCCCCACTTGACGCCAGCTTGAAGGTAAGGCGTACGAGATGATGCATACAGATCATCACAAATACTATGTAATATGCCCTTAGATTGAAGTTTTGTCGATGACAATATAAGCTTGTGATAAATAATAGAAAATTTTAATTTTTATAGTTATGTCTATCATATATGGGCAATAATTAAAGGCCCCCTTTTTTTTTCATTATTTCCCAAACAAGAAATGAAAATAATTTCCTAAAATAAGGATTTTGATCTGTCGAGTATTGCTTTACCCTGAGCTCTTTTGAGTATATCCAGAATGTGACATGACACTCACAATCTAACCTCTTGGGATAGCATATTGTTCAAACAAATAATTCAGACCTGATCCTTAAACGCCTGAGCCTCCGATGGCCTGTCTATAGAAAATAAATGTGCCTTGTATAGGAAAATAGTGCGTATCGTCGTGATGCCTCCCGATGCTTGGCGTGTCCGTCCATCTGAGAAGATCCAGTGATGTATCGTAAATCGATAGCGAGTGTAAGAAAACAGCTTTAGTAAAGTCGATGGTGATCCAGATTGATGGTGCGCGTATTGAAAGTACGCCAAGAAGAACAGGCGTGTAGGAAAGACATGATGATAATGATTGATGATGACTTATTGTTAGTTTCATGAAACAAAGCATCCCTACAAAGACGGAATTCGCGCCGCTGGCGCACTTGCACGAGTTCGTGGCCGTAAGTTGATGACCGTCTCCAGTTCACGGAGCATGCCCTTGGTAGCATCGACATGTTGTCGGGCAATGACCTTTTGCTCTCGTTCCTCGCGAACCTTGGCTATCCTCTCTTCCCTGGTGAGCATACTCCGTGGTCGAGGTAGGGCGACGGCTTCAAATACTTCTGGTGAATCTTGCTCAGTGGAACCAGCATAGTCAGAGCTCGGAGGAGACTCTCCTGTCAGGGCCTTGAGCGCAGCAGCAGTCCCGCCGTTCTCATCCACAGTCGTGAGACCGCTGAGAGAGCTTACAGGCGATAGCAAGGTACTCATAGACGACAGCCTCTTTTCGTTTCTATCGATACCGAGCGCTAGAGCTGCCTTGCCCTCTTCCCACGCCGACATTAGTTCTTTCAGATCCATGCCAATGGACTCGTATTGCGACATGAGATTCGGACCAAGCTCTGAAATATCGCTTGAGTCGTTCAGACTTCTATCGGATTCCTCTCGAAGCAGTTGTAGCTTGGCCTGCAAGCCTCTGATTCCAGTTGAAAGGGAGCCGAGCTTCCGAAGTTGGGCCCGCCAACGTTCCCGTCCTGGTGTAAGAGCATTCATCGGTGTCGGAGGAGATGGGAAATCTAGGTTCGTGAGTCAGCGATCGATTATCAAGATCAAATATCAAACACTCACTGTCTTCCTCGCTAAGGATGCCTTGCAATCTAGAATGTGCCGCTTGAGTTGAGTTATTTAAGCTCAAAAGCGATTCTACCGCTGTAGTCCAGCGGAGTAAATCATTCGCGTCGCTCTCGGCATCCAGAGCTAGAAGGGCGCAAAGAAATAGTTTTCGAATAGTAGAGAAACGCGCAGCAAGAATCTTGAGGGTTCTTAATGATTCGGGATCTTCCAGATCTTCATCGGTGAGACCCTGGCGAGCGTCAGACATGTCGAAATCGGTGATGTCGTATATATCGTAGTATTTTTCCAAATCCGTTTGTTCCGCAAACCCATTGACAACCGTGCAAACTTGATTGTAAGAAGCGAGAACTTCGGCAAAAGAGTGCCTCAAAGCTTTGCGCAACCTGACACATCTTCGTGTCTGTGTACGATCTTCTATACGGCTTATTGGTGGCAGAGGAGCGCTACTGTATGTTGGTTAGCAAGAATCAGCGTTTCAAGGACAACAAAGACCAACAGTCGGTAGCCTCGGGAGACTAACTCTACCTCTTGTATCAGAGATAGAGCTGCTCCAGTCGCACTGTCGAAATTGTGAGAGTGCTCAACGAAAGAGGTGATTTCGGAAAGCGATTGCGACCTTCGATAGCGCAACCATTGGCGCTTCATGTAAACCTGGCCCAGAAGAGCTGCAGCTGCGCATAAGAGGAGCAGAAATATGAGTCTTTTCTTGCTCACTCCACTTCCGAGAACCCAGCTCAGCACCACCGCAACAGCCAGTGCTGCAAGGATCGATGCGATAAATCCTTCGGTAGACAAAATCAAATCTTGGTTGCTCGACGACGGGCTTGGTCCTCCGCCGCCAATTTGCGATTGTCCTAGTCCAGAATGACCACTCAGAAGCTGCGAGGCGATGATCGTATATCGGAATTGTTCGAGGAATTTGGCGTTGTCAGCCCGATCGATACTCGCTGCTACCGCGGCCTATAACAAGGGTATTGTTTAGTAATGTTGATTGATGTTGGTCGCGCGACTCGACATACCGAGTATTTTCCACTTGCAGATCGCAGCCCCGATTGTTGCTGAGGAACTTTTAATTGAAGCGCATTTGGAGCTTTGTTTCGAAACCTCGGCTTCACCAAGGGTCTACCAGTGGGCGCGAACGGAGAAGGGCTCGAGGGGGGCGAAGGACTGGAACGGCCTGCCGACGATTCATGTTCGGGTGTTATTATACCAGGCGCCCAGTCGGCCTGCGACTCATCTCCCTCATCTCGGACAATGTTAGATGGTTGCGAAGAAAAAGGAAATACCCCGTGGGACCGGGAGAGAGCTTCCTCACCTTTGAGGTAGTCGGCGAACGGGGTCTCTTCATATACTACTGGCTCCATCTAACTGCTTTGTGACGTCGTCGGGGTCGATAAGATGTCACACAGAGCCATCGAGCGAAAATTGTCGACGGAGGTGCAGATCGTATCGTATTCGAAGGGTTTGTTGTTGTTGTTATGATGTTATACCGACCAGTGTCTTGCTCAGGAGAAGGCGACTAGAAGTAATCGAGAAGGCGAACAGGGACCAGCTGGGTTGTCGATGTTCCTAATTAGGGAAGCTCCACGCTCACCGTACGGTCCGTACACGCGGTTCAGTGGACAACCCCGAGCAATACGACAGGGATGCTGGGCTATTGGCTGCCTGTCAAAGCAGTGATGCGCCGCTACATACGCTGTAGGTAAAAGTACCCTGGAACCGTTAAGTTTGACCTGGACAGGCGTAATTTCGATCCGAGCAAGTGCTGTTCATGCAGCTCTCAGCATACAACGTAACAAGATGCAGGAGGATGCAGAACGCGGCGTATCAGCGCGCAGCAAAAGGGGGTTCTGGAGCGGGCTTTTGAACACATGGGCTTGTCTTATGTTTGACCGATAAGATGAGCTGCTCATGGCGGAGCAAGGAGGCGCTAACATTAGAATAGCAACATCTTGCACATAAACAGTGGAGTATGGATCAGGTAAGCCTGAGGCACTACCAATTTCCACTGGAAAGAACCTGGGGTAATCTCTCTTTTCTGGTTGGCCAATAAGTTCCTTACGCGCACGGAGCTAAATTCTCAATGTTGAAAGCTCATCGTCAACCTCAATATTTATGACATCAGCTCGATAACCCCCCTGGCACAGCTACGGTTCGGTTCGACTCGATACGATATCGCAATGTTAATACCGAGTTGAATGCCGGTTTCGCGACAATACTTTAGGGCTCCAATGCCTCGACCATGCCTTATTCTGCACTGTCGCTCGGGCAGCCCAATAACAAACTCACCAGAAGGCATTTGGGTCACCAATGCTATGCTGACTCGAGTAATTGAGCGATTTCATCATGTATATCCGGTCCCTCGAAGGAGTCTGAGTTCTTGTCCAGGTCCGCTTGAAAGCCGACGCCGCTTGGGCAAGCGACATATGACAGCAATTATCCCCAACTCTCATGCTTCGCCTTTTCCTTGGTCAATTGAGTTGCCCATCGACCTCGGTAAATGGACATGGGAGGCTCCAACTCGACCCCAAGATCGACGGCATAAAAAGGTTGGCTTGTTTGAGCGTTTTCTGAGATCTCTGGAGGACATAGACTGTGCAGAGAGCCCGCCCGTCACCACTACGACAGTACCGCAAACAGCGACTATCTCGCCCATAGAACAGTCACTCGTCGAGCTCAGCGAAAACCTTGCCTCATTTGAACATGTTGAAGATGGAAGAGCATTGTACAAAGCATGCGAACCTTACCTTCTAAAGGTTTTAGACATGATCGACGACAAGACGATATCCGCAGACGACCTCATCCTCTCACTCAGCCCCTTCGACGAAACTACCAAAAGCCGTGTCCCAGCTCAAATTCTCGACCATGTGCTCGCGAGGCAATGGATTTCAATCATTCATTGCATCCACGACAACCGGACTCGTCCTACCAGTGATGTTTTTGGTGGACATTTATGGTACCAATGCCTCAAAACAGCGTTCCAAATGACACCTCAGGCTACGACTTTCGGCTTTCTGGACGAGCTGTTGAGACTAACTCGACAGTTTGAAAGAATCATTTTGGATCCCGACGACTACGTTGCTTTTATGCGAGCCCATCTTCTCCTAGAAACATGCCAGGGCCAGCAAAAACCTTCACGGCCTGTGTCAACTCAAATTTTGCGCCGGAATATTTATTTATCTCGGATGTTTGGTGTTTCGGGTTCATCGAATATGGATGCCTGTCAGCAATTATCTCAGTCTTGCCTCGAGAGCAGTATAGATACCACAGAGCGACGTACACTGGCGTACCACTTATTGCTCAAACTAGCCACTACCCCTGGTCTCAAGATAAGAGAATTCGTGGAATTGGTCCAAGGTGCCCTCGACACAAGCGAATGGACCGAACCAGAAGTCTGGCAATTCGCAGCTCTTCGCCTTATGAACCAAAGTCAATGGAAGTTGCGCCCGGAATATTTGCAAGAGTGGTCCGAACACCCCTCAACACTTCATTCTTGGGCGGCCTTGCTCGATTCTGCTTTCCACCGACACGCCAAGAAGCGTAAAGCTAACCTTAGGGCGCTTTCGTTTACCAGCGACATCTGTGGCCAACTTGGTACATTAATGAAGGCAGTCCGTCTGTTGCCAAACCACAACGAGATTGTCTCTGACATGGTGAAAACGGAAGAGGATCCTCACCATGCTCTCACCATCTGGGAATTCTACAACGAAGAACAGACAAATCCGGATAAATTACCCTGGTATGCATGGGCGCGGCATTTGGAGGTCATAATAACAGATGCTGATCTACCTGCTAACCTCATATGGCGGGTTGCCGAATTTCACCCCCAAAGGTCCTTGAACAAGTTGAATAACCCTATTAGACAAGGCATAACCTACACAATGGATTTTCTTGTGGAGATAGGGAAGCTCTACATGAAGCGACCTGGTATGACAATGCGAGCGCGTCTAAGATATATCGAAAAAGTCATCAACTTCGGCAAAGCTTCCAGACAGCCCTTGCCTCAGTCTTTGGTGCAGATACTTGCCGAGGTTATACTCAAGGATCTTGAGATGGGCAAGATGGGTCGCAAAGCACGACTTGCATACCTGGTCAGGAAGATAGAGCAGTTCTGCGGAAAAGAACAGGCACAAAAGGTTGCGGTATCAATTGATGGATGGAGATGGACCAACAGAAATCGAATGACACAAATGTTACCAATGCCTTCTCCCAGCGCATTACGCCAAGAGAAGCCACGCAGAGAGTCCATGGGTCACTCTTGGAGGCAATCTCACAGTCACTCGAAGGATGAGGCAGAGAGGGATGATTTCGAATCACTCCTGAAATCCGAGCGACGAGAAGTACAAACCCCGGCTGCGGCAAGTGCAAGCTTTTAGATATTCAGTTGCATGGTTGTTGGATGGTAAAATATACCCACTCTGAGGAATGAGAAGTAAATCACAATAAACATAGAGGAGGAGAACAGTAAAGGCTATCACCAAGGGGGTGGGTCTTAGTGGGCTGATGCCAGAGAATGTGAAGACGAATTATGACAGTATAGAACAAAAAAGTACAAAGACATTATGGCTCAAGGACACATAGCCCTCGACCAATATATTACAAGGAAACTAACTCACTGGCAATGAAGCAAAATAAAACCGAAGCCACAAACATATAAGTTATACTCAAACTATGCAAATGAAAACATCGTTCCAAGTGTCATTACAACGGGTCTAAGTTTCGTAATGAACATAACAAATACAGTAATTTTCCCAGCATCAAGACATCATATGTCATTAGGAGGTAAATGAAATAAAACATAGCTCAAACTTAGTAGACAAAAGAAAAGCCGTTCGTCATAAGGTAGATAAAGCAACGTCATCTGGTGTATCCCAAAACAACAAAAAAACAAAAAACGATATCGTTAGATCCCTTTTCCTTCACCCTGGAACCGCCCATGAAAGAACGAAAAAAGAAACAAAACGTTAAAGAAAGCTCCGCTGCAGATGCATTTGTCCCCGAAATACCAAAATCTCCAAAACACCCTGTATCCCTTTCCCTTGGTATCTTCCCATGCCCTCATTCATACTCTTTCTAATAGTCCACCTCGGTTTGGCCCATTGTCTCAGTCACAAGGCTAATATGACTGCGTGCGCCGATAGAGGTACTTCCGCCGTCACTTGCTCCAGGGAACAGCCTGGAGCGAGGGACCAGAACTTGGGCTGGGCACACGACGATTTCTTCGTCGCCCTTCCCATTGTCGTCTCCTTTCTTGACGACAAGTGGGAACAAGACGACTCTGACAATCGCGCCTTGAGCCTCAAGGTCTTCGTTCGAGGTAGTAATGCTACCACTTCGCTCGTTCATCATTGATGCGTTGAATTGGACTGTGGCGGTAAGCTCACCGTCTGCATCGTACTCGGGTCGCAGAGGTGGCAACATCATGTATTCAGCTTTCTGCGTACGCATCTCAATCGAGAGACCAACGGCCTCTCTCATTACGCGTCGTAGCTGAGATTGAATTTGATCTTCCAGGTTTGTCGGCGGTGGAAGGATCTTGCATAGCGTCTGGAAGATGGCCTGAACAACGGCCTCTGTATCCAGGTCGCGCTGGCGTTTGAAGCTTTCGCGCTTCGCCAGTAGTGTTAAAGTAACGGCACGCCATTGGCGCACAGCTTCAGGAGGACCGACCTCAGTCAATAATTTCTCCAATGACTTGAGCTTCTGTCTCTGCTCTCTATCCATGCCGAACAGGTAGCGGGTGAAGACAAATTCCCAGATCATGTTCATGGTCATGGACATGAAAATGTCACGTCGTTTTACACGGTCCCGAAGGTAAACGTCGACGTCGGAACCATCAAGTACGGCATTGTCGAGTCGGTCGATTGTTTTCTCATCGTTGATCTCATTTGTCAAGCGACAAGCACGCATGTCTGAGAATTTGGAAAACCGCAGCACCCACTGTTGAACGTGCGAGCAAAGTTGTTGGCAGCGGTGATCAAAGTGATCCTCGTCACGAATGTTGAGGAAGTGGTCGTCATGGGCTTTGGCCTCAAGTATTTGACGTTGCAATTCGCGAATCTTTTCTTTGGCGGTGTCGAGTTGGGCTCGAAGATCGGCAATCTCAGCGTCTTTCTCTTCAAGGGACTGCTCAGTGGTTCCTTTGACACGGCGGGCCTCTTCCAATTCACGCGCGACAACCGCGTTGCGGCTCTCGAGGTCGGCTACACGACCGGTGTCTTTATTGGCGAGCTCAGTGTTGGCGCTGGCAAGGCCGTCGTTAACTTCGGTAAGTCGAGAAACCTCGTTCTGGAGGAACTGTAACGATTGCTTCAGGTTATCGATCTCGGAATCGCGCTCGGCGAGACTGTTGGCAGCGCGTTGGCTCAAACTTGTCTCAGCCATAGCACGAGCTTCTGTGAGCATTCGGTTCTCAGCCATTAGCTGCTCAACCCTATTCTCGAGTTCGAGGACCTGCATGCTCTGTCGGCGGCGCATGCTGTGAGGCCTAGTGGGCGATCGAGGTGAGCCGATGCGCCCCTCACCGAAGCCATCCTGCAAAGTGTAAGTACTGGCAAGACTATACATGTTATGGTGTTGTTGTAGTTGTTAACTTACGTAGACGTCGGCCATGTCCTTGGTGGCACGGGCACGACCCTCATTTGCGACGGGCGTGGAGCTGACAGGCGCTGTTACGGTAGCGGTAGCGGTGTTGTTTTGTTGACGTATAGACCGCAGATCACCGCTCATTCGCTTATCGGCGCGGCGTAGCGGTGGAGTGGGGGTGCCTGACGACCGGTTGATGCCTGGGCTTTCAGGCCTGGAATTAAGCGGCTCTGGAGTTCGACGACGGGAGAGACTCGTGTTAGAGACAGCCCGACGTCCCGCGCTTTCAAGGCGAGGAGTTGATCGCCGAATAGGACTTGCATTGTCGGAGAAACTTCTTTGGCCAGCATATGATGCTGCAGGGTTAGAGTTCGAGTTGGAACCTGGAGTGGGCGTTCGAGTAGGAGTTGAAGAAGATGTTGAAGGCCCAGGCCCAGATCTAGATAGCGTTGACGCTAGGCCCGCACCCGCACCCGCTGTAACGGTAGCGCCTACTGGTGTAAGGATTCCATATTGTTTCTTCTTCTCAGGCTCTGGAGTTGGTCCCGGTACAGTGGGCTCTCGTAATACCGGCGTGCCTCGAGGAGAGCGACGGAGTCTTCGCTCGGGCTTTGGTTCGGGAGTTTGCATGACCGTACGGTCTAAAATTGGTTGGGGATGTTCCCAGCCCTCGGTCTCTATTCCGCTGTCGCGAAATGGTTCTGGACTGCGAGGTTTGCTTCGTCTCAAAGTTGGCCTTTCTCCTGCAACACTATCACGCCTGGATTCTTCACTCAGGCGTCTGCTCCGTCTCTGAAAACTCGATGCGTCACCAACAGGGCCGCTGTTTCGTCTGACCTGGGGTGGTGGTGAGAATGCACCCCTGGTTGATTCCATTTCCGCCTCAGGAACCTCAAGGACCGGCTCTAAAAGCCTGCTTGGCGACCTTAATATGTCGCTGATGTCGGATTCCATGCCCAGTGTTGGCGTGATTGTCGTGCTGTCTTCTCGTAATAGGCCACCTCTGGGCTCATCTACGCCAGAGTCACGGCGTAACAGCTTTTGCGGCGACCCTCTCGATAACTCTGAATCGCCACGCCCGAGAACGGGACTCTCCACATCGTCCAAGTCGTCCGGCCGCGATCTTCGTAATTTGTTCTTGTCGTCTTGTTCGTACTTGACAGGAGCATCTCTAGTCGACCCGTGTGATCTAGCCGTTCCACCTTGTCGTTCTGGCTGCTTGGGTTCGTCTGCTGATTGTCTGGCGCTCTTAGTGCCTTTTGAAGATTTCAGCCTTTTCTCAGGGGTCTTGATCTCGTTTGTCAAATCCCCAGTAGCATTTCTTCCATTGTCCTTGGATTCATTACCAGTTTCCTTGGTGGTTTCCGTAGTTGGCGGCTTGATGTCGTACGAGTCGGCCTTGGTCGTCGTTTTTCTGTCAGTTGAACCTCGCTCGCCACGCTCGTCTTGAGTACTGTCTCTGTCTGCTGACCTCCCTTCTCCGTCCTTCCGCTCATCCTGTGCCTGTTCCTTCATTGTCTTGTCACTAGCCTTCTTAGTACCCCATGCAGCGGCTGCAGCTGCCGTAACTCTAGCAAAAATAGATGTTTCGGGCTTGCCTGGTCGTTTATCCCCCACAGTGGCTGTACGATCACCTACACTTTTCTGAGTCTTGGCTGGTCGTGTATCTGTCTCGGTCAAGACACCTGGCGAAACATGAGGTACAGACTCTGGGGGTGACATAGCCTGCTCTGAGCCCTTCCGGCGCTTCTTCTTCTCTTTCGTACTCGCAGTAGGCGCATCATCAAATCCAACTCCCGCGCGAGTTGTATCGTTCTTGAAACTCGGTGAAGGAGCTAAAGCAGGTTTCGAAGATCGGTCGTCTGTGCTCATATGCGTATCCTGGGGGGGTAGAGGAAGCATATGGGACTTCTCTTCGGGTAGGATCACACCAGGTTCTTGGGGTATCGCGACAGGAGCGGCGGTCATTGGAGACTCTGTCAAAGCGTCTGGTCCGGATGTGAAGATGTCTGATACTGCCTTGGGCAAACTCTCTTTCCCAGAAGGCTCAACGATTGTTGCTAAATCAGATTCAGCTTTGGTCCTATCTTGGCCAGGCACTGTCACAGGCTGTGTTGGTTCCACTACCGATGGAGCACCAAGCTTCCTGTCGCCTGGAGTGATGATGGGACTTCCAGTTTCACGCTGAGCCTTTTTGCCCTTCTTTAACCCTTTTTCTTCAACGGGTTCAGTGCCGCCCTCAATATCTTGATCGTTCGCTTTAATGGCTGTTTTCTTCAATTTCAGCGTATTGTCTGGCGTTGATGGGCTTTGGTTGCCTTGTGCTCCCGGTTCTTTTGGCTTACTGGCCTGAAAAGACTCGGCATCTGGTGTGTCAGAGGCCTGATGATCCTTTGCAAGTTCCTTTTCCAAAGCTAGCTTCGCCTTCTTCTTTTCCCTCTTCGACAAATACGAGTCCGAGGTGGTGTTGACATTGTCTACCTGTATGGGGATAGCAGAAGTTGACTGGGGATCGAGAGGAAGATGGCCAGTGGCTTGGCTTTCAGGGACATGTGGCACTGCAGGTTGGGCCATGGATTCATCGACAGGACTTGCCAGAGGAGGCTCGACTATCATCAACAAATCCTTGGCTTTGGTGGGGGTGTCAAGGTCCACTGCAGCATTTTCCCTGCTTTCTAGAGTTGTGCTTGATACATGAGCTATTGAGGGTCCTTCGACGATAGACTGTGGTTGTTTGACAGCAGATGATGTCTGGCCGTCTTCATCTTCGAGCTTCGCATCACCATTGGTTGTGGATCCTATTGGTGAGTCAGGCTCCGGTTTCTCAAGGTCCTGTTTGTTCATCTGTAACTCGTGGCCTTGCTGTTTAATGTCTTCGGCTCCAAGTTGAGAAAAGTCCGCACTCTGGGGCATGTCAGATGTTGGCTGCATAGAAACTTCGGGGTTCGGCGGCAAAGTAGAAAACCCAAGTGGCTTTGTATCATGGTTGCTTTCCATGGGCTGGTCAGTGGCTGTTGAATAAGAAGGCGTTACAGTCAGGGCCTCTCCTGTCGTTTTGGCTTCATCTTCAGCTTTCTTCTGCTCCCTCTTTTTTTTTTTCTTGTCCTTCTTCGATGACTGTTTAGGGGGGTCCTGTACAGTGTTTGGCTCCTGCTCCGCCGGTTGGCGAGTTGCAGTCTCCGCCTTTTCCGCAGCTTGCTCTGCCTTCAAACCATCACCGGCAGTATTGGGGGTTCTGTCGACGACAGGGACAGTTTCTTTGAGGTTTGTAGATGCATCCATGGTGACACTGTCCTTGGAGGGTTGGATGGTGTCTATTTTCATGCCATTCTTCCCATCTATCTTTGAAGCAGGCGATGAATCACGTTCAACTGCATCTTGCTCCACCAGTGTGACAGGCTCTCTAACTTGATCGAATTGTTTCGGGGTTTCAGGCGTACTGAAAGTGAACCCCTGCTTGTTTGGCTGGCTATGCTCAACTAACACATCGTTTGGTGTTGAGCGGACTTCACTTTTGGAAGGTTGTGACGGCATGTGTTGGGTTTCGCGGCCTTCTTCAATAGGCGATGCCGGCCCTGATCCAGGTGAGCCAGTGATCTCGCCCTTTCGTTTCTTCTTGTCCTTCTGGGAAAAGAACGAGCTGGCCATGGAAAAGATTGAGCTGGCAATGCCCTCTGGCTGTGCTGTGGTCTTACTTTTGCTTGGTCTGCCAGGTGACTTGATGGGCTTGGAAACGTCATTGCCGGGCTTCTCCTTTACAATATCTTCAAAGGTGGTTTTTGACGTGGATGTTGGCAATCCGGAGGTGGACTTCTCTGAGACATTCCTTGGGGAGTTGTCCTTATCAGGTTTGGGAGGCTCGAGAAGTTCGTCCTGTGTCTGTTGGCCGAAACGGTCGACCGTTGACATATCCGCAGGCTTCAGCTTGTCTTGTTGCTCGTCGGAAATCTGGATAGATTCCAAGCTTAGGCGACCGTTGTTTGAATCGGTGACTTCGGCGCCAGCAGTACCAGAGTTCTTCTTGGCCCTCTTCTTCTGCTTTTTGTCTTCAGAAGGTACGATGTTCGCATTTCGCTCAGTCTCGCCCGGTCTTCCTTCAGCATGTGCGTCAAGTGTCGCGACTGTGTTCTCACGGCCTTCCCCAGTTGCATCTGATGTTGGTTCTCTTTTTTCAGTAGTACTTTCTTCCGGCTGAATTTGTGTATGCTCTGCTGCTTCGAGATTTCTGGAAGCTGGAGCCATTTCGTCAAGGATCTGAGAGTTAGTGTCGTCGATAGTAGGAGTGGCTTCTTGGTTTTCTTTTTGGCCCTCGTGTTTCTGTAAAGTATCTCGCGTATCAAGAGCTGGGTGAACAACCTCTACAGATGGCGGCATCTGACTTGCTGGTAGGTAGGTCATGATGTTGTCTGGTTGATCCTGACCTTTGTCGTTCTTTTCAAGTTTCTGCGTATCCTCCACGGAAGGGCGAGTTTCTTGTTGTACATCATTGCCGACTTCATTGCTTGTCTCGCCGCCAGGGGCTTGAGTCTTGGCTTCACTTGGGCCAGATTTGCGACTCTTCGCTGTCTTTTTACTCTTTTTCGGCGAGAGTTCTGATCGTTCTTCGGCCACAAAAGACTCCTGAACAACAGGCGTCTGGTTGGATGGTGCTGTGGATTCCCCGGAGCCTGAGCCAGCAATTATATCTGCATGGGTTTCTCGCGCGCCTCCGGTCTCCGTGATTGATTTTGGAGACAGGCGTTCTGGATGCTGAGATTCCGGGACTTCAATCGCAGGCGGAGGTGTTGTGACTCGGTAGCCAGGTTCATGTGATGTTGGTGGCTCGGCCTTTGTTTCCGAAATCAACTCGACAGGCGTCACATCGGTTTCCGCTTCTTGGCTGGTTTCGTTCTTGGCTGTCGAAGGAACAGGGAGATCTTGTTGTGACCCAGATCTATGTTGGGGTTCTTCGAAAAATGGCGGCATTTCGAATTCATCTGGGGTTTTGACTGTGACTGGCACTTCAGCCTCATCTTTGCCTTCGAGTTCCGCCGTCTCCTTATCTTTGCCTTCTGAAGGAGAAACAACATGACCCTCCGCAATCTCTTGCTTATCTGACTTGACTTCAGTGACCAGTGTCGTCTCTTGCGACGGAGGTGACTCAGTAGGGATGTTCTTTTGACCGGCTGTGGTTTGGCTTGTGGGTTCGGCCTGCTCCCTTGTCGCGTCGTTCTCGAGATCCTCCTTTGTGCCAACAAAGTTGCTGTCACTTGGGCTAGAAGCAAACTTATCAGATGTCTTGTTTACGGATGCCTCCTGGCTTTTCTCGGTCTGCGCTTCAGCTTCGGTGACTCTGGCGGTGAGGTCTTCTGGCTGAGTGAGAACAAGCTCTGGTTCAGTGTCGGTTTCAGGCAAGGCTTCGCTACCAGAAGTTGTTGGCTGAAAGGAATCTTGGATGATCAGGTCGAGGCCTTTCCTTTTCAACTTTTTCTTGATGTTCTTTTTCTCCTTGCCAGCGAGAGATTGCCATTCTTCAGTTGTAAACTCATTCTCACCACGTTCCGACTTTTCAGGCTCATTGATACCAGGGGTGTCCACCAACTCGGATGATGGATTCGCCGAGAAATCTGGCAGTGCAGCAGTGTCTGGGACAATATCCTCCGTCATAGATTCGATTTGAGGAAGGACGGTATCCTGTGTCGCCTCTGGTTCTTCTTGAACATTGGTCTCGCTCGGTCCGCTTTCCTCAAAGACCTCCCTTTCTGCATCCTCTTTGAAGAACTGGGCCTTCTCGTTGTATCTATCGTCCGTCACTTGCCGGTCGCTCTGAGACGTAGAACTGTCAAGAGGATGGTCATGGGAAACTGGCTGTTGTTGGCGTTCAACAACGGGTACGGCCGGCTTCTCCTTCGTCAGTTGTACAGATTCTTCCCTTGCCTTGTCAATGGCGGCCTCGTTTGAAATGTCTTGGTTGGCTTCAGTCTCCTCTTCTGGTGCTTGCTCTGGTTCGGGAACAGAAGCAACATCAGTGGTAGGATAAGACGAAGGACTAGTGTCCTCGATTGGCTTTTCATTTAGAGGAGAGTCCACAGGAGCCATCAGACTACCTGTAACGACAGGCTGCAAGACAGAATTTGGCTCATGAGGCTGCGAGGTTTCCTCCAATTGCTTCTCAACATTACTTTCCACTGACTTATCCGACTCCTCTGAAACGGGTACAGTCTGAGTATCAGGAATCACAGTGTCCTCGCTCGTGACAATATCAGGGGCAACAGACGAGGGGCCCGTTTCGTCGATGGTGATGGAAAGGTCTCGTTCCGTTGATTCAGGCTCTGTAGGTTCACTCACACGCTGTTGGGGGCTACTAGGATCTGCGGGTAGGACTGGTGTAGAGGAGAAAAGGTCTGACGACGGCAAAAGGTCTAGAGGCGTTTGTTCCGCCAATTTTGTTGCATCTGTAGACGAGGGTTGAGTATCACATGCTGGTGTAGTCTCAACTGGAGCAGCAGGCTCAGAAATGGCCTCTAGCTCGACAGTTTCATGATTTGACGACTGTGTAGGGTCTCCCAGTGACTGCAGGATAGGCTCGTGGGGGCTTTGCATAGCCTTCTCAGGGGCGTTTTCATCCATGCTTTCGGCGGGAGCATCGGTCAGTACCTCCTCAAGTGGCTGGTTGATCTCCACCGGCTTTGGAAGTTCCGCTTCCATGGGAATCTGCGCCTCTGTGGTTTTTTCTGCCATGTCTGGCGATGAGGATGGGATGTCTTCGGTAGTCACATCAGTCTGCTCAAGTTTGTCTGGGATAATAGGCCCCGTTTCCACCTCAATGATCGAGCGTGAATCTTGAATGTTCTCAGCGGGTTCTCCAAGCATCTGTGGTGGCTCAGTCGCGTCCTCTACGCGAGAGGAATCTGGCTTCTTCACAACTTGATGCTCAGCTGGAAGGTTAGTACTTGAGCTCTTGTCAGGGACATCAGTTAAATTGTCTCCAGAATCAACTTCCGGCACAGGAACAATGATATCCTGCTCGGAAGTTGTCTGTCCATCAGACTTGGGTTGTCTTGTTTGCAAGTCGGCATCAACGTCGGGTTCGTCATCAGCTCTCTCTGTCGCAGGTTGGATATCGGTGTTGTCCAAAGATTGATTCTCAGTTTTGGACTCGAGTTCAGCTTCAAAATCAGGCTCAATTATAGGTACAGTCTCCTCAATGTCAGGGAGTGGATCATTCATGGTCTCGTAACCAAGCTCTTGCTCTGCCCCGGTGGTGGTTTCAGCCGCAGATTCGGCACAAGTTTGAGGGGTTGGCTCAGACTCTGTACCAGCTTCAGTTGCAGGCGTCGCTGCCTCCTCCAGTGAGGTTCCACTTTCCTTTGGCATCTCTGCTTCAACTGAAGATTCTGGGGTTGCCAGAGCTCGAGCTTTCTTCAACTTCTTGATTTGTTTCTTCGACAAGCCAGCAAACTCCTCGTCATCGTCCAACTTTTCCTTTTCCTTTCCCAATCCCAATCCCGACTCCAGCTTTGTTTCAGGCTCAACAGGAGGATCAAGATGAACAGCTACAGTCTTGTCCTCCTGTCTTTGTGTGCCTTCAGAAGATCCTTGGCTCTGGGCCTCATCCACGACGGCGGCGGCCGCGTCCTGCCTTACCGTCTCCGGCTGCGTTGGATGATTGGTCTTGATGTCCTGCACGATTTCAAAATCGCTGTCTTTAGCCTTGTTCTTTTGGTCGGTCTGGGATTGACTGAGGCTAAACCCACCCCGCTCGTCTTCAGGACTAGCTGGTTCTTCGCTAGGAAGTTCTCCGGAATTACCGGTGTCTGGCACTTTGGCTTCGTTGGCTGGTGTGGCAATCTCGCCCTCCAAAATGATGTCTCCCTTGGGAGTTTCTTTAGAATCGGTCTGCTCAGACGTCTCGTCACGCGTGACTTTGGGATCTTCGGCCGTGTGCTCGGCTGTTTCGCGTTCGACTTCAACTTCGCCTTTTTCGAAAGAAGTAGTAGGCTCGGATTTAGGCTCCTTGGATTCTTCTTCAAGTGCAGCCTTCTTCTTGTCTGCCTTTTTCTTCTTCTTCTTCTTATCCTTCTTGGACAGTTTTGCAGGGGATTCGGGTTCTTCGATGTTCGGCACAACAGGTTGTTCGGTGGGGGTTTGCTCGGGGACTACGGCACCTGGTGCTTCAGAAGCCTCGATGGCTGACGCTGGCTTCTGGCAAGGAGAGATTTCTACAGGTTTCTCACCATCAGCTGGTTGTGCCTGCTCATTGTTTGTCGGGAGAATTTCAGAAGAAATGTTCGCTGCTTCAGATCCCAGGGGAAGAGGAGACGCTTCTGCAGTCTCATCGTCGACTGGGTCTGTTGGGTTAGGTGTACCGGAAGATGCTTCTTGCCCAATACTATCCTTGGCATCGTCAGAAACCTTAGATGTGGACTCAGAAGTCGCTTCATTTGAGGACTCGGCTTCAGGTTGCTTCTCTGGTTCATCTGTAGAGGTGTCCTTCTTCTTTTTCCTCTTTTTCTTGCTCTTTTTCTCAGAGGCAGGCTCTGATTCGGCCTTGTCCAAGGTAACATCCGAAGGTCCCTCAGCCTGGCTCTCAGCAGTCGTGTTCTCGGCCAAAGGAACTTCAGGGTTTTTCAACGGGGGCGCCTCGGTTTCTTCTGCATCTGATGATTGCACATCCACAGGTGCGTCCTCAGGGGCCAGGACTTGGGGCATATCTTGAGTAGCAGGAGCCTCTTCGGGAACAAGTTCCGCTTGTGCAGGAGTGTCCTCAGTGTTGACAACAGTTTGATCAAGCTGTTCGGGTTCAGTTGCCAATATGCGAGTATCGGTATTCTCTGTTGCTGGATCCTGCGATCCCCCGTTCTCGGAGAAGGATACAGATTTTCGCTTTTGCTTTTTCTCGGACTTCTTACTGATCTCTGGCTCCATTACCTCATTGTCGACAACTGTTTTCTCCTGGGGCTCTGCAGCTGGTGCCGTATCAGTGGTGGTCTCGTCATCCATAGGCTTTTTCTCCGAGGGCACATCTGTTAAGATTTCTGTGGCCTCGTTCAATAAACCCGCGCCCACTGTCTCAGCTTCACCCGATGTTTCTGTTGGTTGTGTTTCACTAATATCAATCTGCCTCTCAGTAGTAACAGTCGCTTCATTGACTGGGGCCGTATCCTGGGGAATATCTATGTCACGAGTTTCCGTTGGCTGGGCTGATTCCGCGCTCACTTCGGAAGGCTTCTGGACATCTACATCGGCAGATGTCGAATTGGTAGGCTCCTGGGCAGCTTGCGGTGGAGGGTCGCGGGCAGCTTGTGCCTCTGTCCTTTGAGCTACGTTCTCCTGAAGGGTGGCAAGGCGTTTTTGATCTTTCTTGAGGAGACGACCCCCTCTTCGCGATTGCTTTTCAAGCAATGCTTCGATCTCTGCATTGTCCTTCGCTGCCGCAGCGCCCTCTGCTTGACGCAAAGCTTTGCTCTCTGCTTCTTTGATTTTCATCGCAACCGACCCGGCCTTTGGTGATCCGGCTTTCAGTGTTGCTGGAGGCAAAATGTCATCTACAGAGGGCATGGCAATGACATCCCGAGCAGCTTGAGGCGGTTCCTCAGATATTGCTTCATTCGCCTGCTTCTCGCTGGAAGACGGGTACTTGGCTTCAGAACCAACTGTGTTGTCGTCAATAACCTCGACTTGCGTGGGCTTGTCATCAGTCTGGGTTTGTTCCACAACCTCAGGCTGAACTAGTTTGTCGTTTTCTTTTAGAGCCTCGGCTTGTGGTAATTTAACGTCGGAATCAGACTCCTTAGTTTCATTCTCGGCCGTCTTGTCATCAGTGTGCAATGTCTCCTGTGCATGAGATTCGATGGGTTTGCCATCCATCTGCTGCGATTCCTCTGCTTCGACTTGAGACTTGTCATCAATTTGTGGCAACAACTGAGCTTCAGGGTTGGTGGGTCCGTCTTCAGCTTGAGCAGCGCTATGGTTAGTCTCAGATGACGCTTGATTTTCAGGTTCCATCAGCTTGTGATCGTTCTGTGGCTGTTTGGTGGCCTCGGCTTCAGGTAATTGATCACTGCCTTGGAGCTTATCTTCTGGGTTTTCTTCAGGCTGGGCCTCGGGTGTATTTTCGGGCTTCTCACTCATGGGCGGCTCTTCCTTGGACTGAATTTGGGTTGGCTCGTCGTCGATCTTGTCTTCTTCCTTTGCCTCACCTTCAACTGGTTTGTCGTCGGTTTGCGATCGGTTCAAAGCCTCTGTTCCAGTTGATTTTCCCTTAATTTCTGGCTTGACTTCAGGTTGAGCGTCAACAACTTTGCCTTCCGTTGTGTCGTCTGACTTTGCTCCAGGCTCCGCAGCACTGAGTTCCTCTGGAATGTCGCGAGAAGCTTCTGCCACCGATTCCGAGGCCAAGGCCTGGTTGTCTACACCATTCGACACATGTATAACTTCCTCAATGGGGGGTTCCTGAATCGCTTGGTCTTGTTGAGCTGAATCGTTCTCGTGCTCGGTAGTCTCGTCTTGGCCGGCTTGGTTCTTCTTCTTCTTTTTGTTCTTCTTCGCCATCTTCTTAGAACCAGATGCGTCGGCCTCAGTGTTATCTCCTGTAGCTTCCTCGGCAGTCTTTGTGTCCTCGGCCTCAGCAGTCTTGTCTGGCTCTTCTTCGGTGACCAGTTCAGGCTTGGCTTCAGCAGGCTTCTCGACATCGTCATTTGTCATCTCCATAGGTTTATCCTCGGCAGTATCATCAGATTTGCCCTCGACAGCTGGTGTTGTGTTGGAAATTATCTCGATCGATGGGTTCTCGACAGATTTCACATCCTCACCTTCGATTGCTCCATCGAGGATTTCGCGGGGTGCTTCAAGTGCGATTTCAGTTGGCCTTACTGGCTCATCCTCCGTCTTCACCACAGGCTGTTCGACAGCTGTAGATCTACCCTTATCAGGAACGTCGTCGCTGACATGCACGGTGGCATTCTGCGGCTCAGCGCCTTGGGAAGGTTCCAGTTCAATGGTTGTTGCTTGCGATTCCTCTACAAGCGCATCCCCTTGAGAGAAAAGTGGCTCAGAGATATGAGAATCAGACGAAGTCAGGAGCTTGTTGGCAGCAGCCTTGTCGCTGTCCACTTCAACGATAGGAACACCAGGCTTCGCCTCGGCGACCTTCGACTTCTCAGCGCTTACAGTATCAGGCTGGGTCTCACTACTGGGCCTGGCAACGTCAGGTAGAGCTTCACGCATGCGGTTTTGCGCTCTTGCTTGATCTTGGAATCCCCACATTCTCTTGAAGGCCGAAATTCCTGCAGCGCCAGGGAATGTGCGAAGGGAAGAAGGAAAGTAACCTTGTCGATCTTTCCGAACATCACCGGTGGAAGGGGATTGATTACCAGAAGAGGGGGAATAGGGGACATCATCCAGATCATCAAGTTCTCGACTGTTAGGTACTGGTGCAGCGAGCACTGGTTTATCAGCACGGGATTTCTTGACACTCTTGGCAGCCTGACCACCATCATGCTTGGGGGTTGACACAGCAGACTTTGATGATGTAGCTTCGTCGGCTTGAGCGTTATCGATGGTCTCAGGCTTTGTATCGGCTGCCGGGACGGATGGTTCAGTCAAATCGTATGTTGCCTTCTCAGGTTCCTCAAGAGACTTGCCTTGTGACTTGCTATCCTGAGGCTCAGTCACTGGCTCATCATCTGTTTTGGTGCCCTTCTTCTTCTTTTTGTTCTTTTTCGACTTGGAAGAAACGGCGTCTTCTTGCATTGGCGCGTTGGACAGTTCGGAAAGCTGTTCAGCAGTCTTAGCATGCTTGTCTTGCTCTTGGTCAGGAACATCAGTATTCGCAACAGTGTCAGGTTGGGCCCAAGCATCAAAAGTATCTGCATCAACAGTATCTGCATCAACAGAAGATTCCACAGGGGCGTCCTGGGACAGCTCCGTAGAAGGTTGTAAGGGGTCCTCCACAGCAGTCGAGGATTGTTCAACGGGCAAGTCGACAGGGGTAGCAGCGGGAGTTTCGATAGAGACAACCGGATCAGTCCAAGCATTAAAGGCCTCCTTTTCAGCTTGAGGGGTTGGAGCAGAATCTATGGTTGTATCCTCGGCCAGGACAGTAGTGGGTTCCACGGGCGTAGGTTCCTCCTGAGGTGGTTGCTGAGTCCTAATCTTCTTCTTCTTCTTGCTCTTGGACGGAGACTCAGGCAACTCCTCAGCAGCCTTCTCTTCGGGAGTGGCGCCAGGCAGAGGCTCTGTGACAGTAGGGGCTGTAGCGGACAATTCAGGGGCAGGCTCATGCTCAGCTATGGGTGCTGCAGGTTTAAAGTAGACTTCTGGCTCCTTCTCTGTGCTTTCCGCTTCTGGCTGGATGGCCAACTCTTTGTTGACAGGTAAGACATCGTCTTCTATTGGGTGAGATACCTCTTCAGGCACTATACTCACGTGCTCTTCTCCTTGGAAGACAGCAGGCTCTTGGACGCCTTCAGCTTCCGCAACAATAGATGGCTCGGCAAAAGCTTCAGGAACGAGCTCGGATACAAATGGGGCTCGGGTTTCGGGTTCAGCCGTAACTAACTTCGATGTCGAAGCTTTATCGTCCGCATTGACCCCATTACTCAGGGAGGGCTGGTCGTCCTTGCTCAAGTCGTCAACAGGAGCTGGAAAATCGAATGAGTCTTGAATAATTGGTTCTAGTCCCTGCTTCTTGAGCTTTTTCTTCATGTTCTTTCTGTCCTTGGCATTCATGTTGTCCCACTCTTCGGTGGTGATCTCATTCACTGCACGCTCAGCCACAGGTTGCTCTGGCTTCACCTCAGCGGGTTCGACAGCTTCAGCAGTAGTTTCAGTAGGGACATCGACAGATGGAGCCGTTTGAGGTTCTTCAATAGTATCGGGAGCAAGTGCCATGGAGGTGTTATCAGTTTCGCGACCAAGGTCCTCGGTCTCTTCTTTCGTGTTTTCGATCCTAGGCTCAGTGACCGAGACATTCTCGACAACCAGTTCACGCTGGGGCATGGTATCTGGCTCATCGCTAGACTTGGGAAGGTCGACGGCACCCTGACCGGCTGCTTCGTTCTCCAATTCGTCAGCAGGTTCAACTGCTTCGGGAATAAAATCTGCCCAAGGCTCGGCGACTAGCTCTTTGGTTGGCTGTGGTGAAGATTCAGGGGCGACTGTGGTAACATCCTCAATCATAGGCTCTGTTGTGAGATCCCGAGAAGGTTCCTCGGCCGCCATGTCGATCGGAGTAGGTTCGATGATCTGCTTGGTGGACTCAGGTTCTTGAATGTTTTCAGGAGCCTCGGGAACTAGGTCCTTGGCTGATGTGGTGCCGTCTTCAATAGTAGACTCCTGTGTCTCGGCACACTCCTCAACTACAGGTTCCTCCACAGAAGGCTCCGCGATTGACTTTGTATCTGGCCCAGGGGTAGTTTCGGCAGCCTTTGCTTGAGCTCGTTTGACTGAGTGGGAAATCAAGGTCATCAAGCGAGTCTTTTCAGCCTTTGTGAGCTTCTTGGCCTTCTTGGATTTGAGAGCAGCTATTTCCTCCTCTTCCTTAGCAACCTCTTCCGCTTCGGCTTGTGTAGCAGTCTCGGCTTCGGTGACAGCTTGATCCTCCGATTCTTTGGCTGTTGCCTCGTCAACTACAGGTTCGGCACCATATTTAATATTGGTAGGCTCTTCAGCAGTAGGCTCATTAGCAGGAACAACAACGGATTTGGTCGAATGGCCGATGGCATCAGTCGTAGTGTCAGGGACCTTTTCGTTTGTTGTGTCATTCAGAGGCTCTTGAACGGTGGACTCTTCGATAGTAGGCTCATTAGCAGGAGCAGTAAAGGTTTCAGTCGAAGTATCAATGACATCAGCAGCGGTGATGATCTTTTCGTTTGCCTTCTCAGCCAGAAGCTCGGCGTTTGATGGCGCATTCAAAGGCTCGTGAACAGTAGGCTCACTGACAGGGGTGACGACAGTCCCCTTTGCAGTTTCGCCAACATTGCGAATGTCTCTAGCTACCTGTCCCTCTGCCTGATTGTCCATTGTCTCTTCGGCTGTAAGCTCAGTATCGGGCTTGACAGTTGCGGGCACTTCGGTAGCACGCTCATCGACGGGAATGATAATAGGTTCGGTCGCGCTCTTATCAATGAGACCGACCTCCTTGGTTAAAGGCTCCTCAATCTCTTTAGCCGCCTCATTTGCAGGGTCGGTGTCGGGCTTGGCATGAACACGCTCCTCAGTTGTGTGCTCATTGATCGGAATAGTGGAAGGCGATTGAGCAGCATCAACGACGTCAGAAATGTCTTTGGCGGCCTGATCCTCTGCTTCTTCCGCAACTGTCCTTTTGGCAGCAAGCTCAGCATGAGACGTCACATCAGAAAGCCCATCAGCGACGAGCTCGTTGACAGGGGTAGTGAAAGCTCCAGTTGTAGTTTCGGAAGAAGGCTCGTAAGGAGACTTGGCAATGGATTCAGAAGTAGGCTCTCTGTCCATGGCAAATGAGAGTGATCGAGAAATATTTTCTCCGGGTGAAGTCGGTTCAGAAGGACCAACAACAGCATCGGAAAAGTGCTCGTCGGCAGAGGTGAGATCATCCGGCTTCTCTGCAGGCGGTTCGGCACGGTCCCTGACTTGAATAAGGGCAGCAGCAGCTAAACCAGCACTGGCGCCCAAGCCGACAGGAACAGCGATGGCAGCAGCATCGAAAGGAGGTGCAGAGCGCTCATCACTAGCCACATCCCTGCTACCAGACTCCATAGGGGTTGCCAGAGATGGTGTGGGCGGGTCAGGAGCTGCAGTAGGCGTAGGTTCTGGGAGTTTAGGCTCTGACAGGCCAGGGGTTGGCTCATTGGAAGGGACAGAAGGTGTTGGCTCTGGAAGCACAGGCATAAATTCGGCACGAGGGGTCGTCTGTTGTGATTCGGCATCAGAGTCCTTTTGCTGCTCAGAGAGAACAGTGTCAACGCGCAGATCAGGTCCAGCATACTCGGGGTCTTCGCCGAAGTAATCATCGTTCTGTTTGAGGAATTCAGATTCGGGTGAGTTTCTCGCAGAAGTCTCGCTGGGCTCACTAGGTGGCAGCGCAGGAAGTACAGATCCTGTTGTGGGTGCTGGGTGTCGCGATTGTTCAAGGAGATACAGAGGCATGAATTCACGGCTGTTGTCCCAAGAGGTAGGTCGAGCTTGTCGTCTTGACATGACCACCGCGTCCGAGTGCGATATAATAGGGGAGCTAGCCGGAGAAGCCCTGTAGCTCACAGGGGAGGCAGGATTTGATGATCTGTTACCTAGGCGGAGTGCGATAGGAACAGCGGTACGGCTGGGGGATTTCATAGGCGTCTCGAAAATACTGCGGCGACGCTGCTGGGGCCAAGGTTCTCGGCGGGCACCGCGCTCCTCAGGAGGAGTATCAGGTCGACTATCAGGAAGAGGGGGTAGTTCGCCGGAAACAGAAGAAGTTGGGCTAGAAGGTTCACTAGGGGGTAGAGGGAGAAGGTCGCCATATTGAGGGTCAATAGCTGGTTTGATGACACGCGGTATGACCTCAGGGTCTACCAATTCGAAGCTTCGCACATGGCGTAGCCCATCACCAGAGGCAGAAGGCTCTCGGTCTGATGGGGCATCAGCGGCGTTAGAGCGAGTGGCATCAGATGCATAAATGTCTGCTGCAGTCGCTAAGCCGACACCCGCGCCAAGGGTGTCGGCATTACCTAAAAAAGAATCCTTCTTATCCTTGCGTGGTTTGAAGAGGCCGGAAAGGACGCTGGTGCTTGGTCGCTTCTCTGGTGTTCTACGTTCCTTGTAGTCCTTCTCACGACGGGATGAGCCGGGCACAGACGAAACAGACTTCGCATCGTCATCGTCATACCGAGACGGTGTTCGTCGGTGTCCACGCGACTCAGAGACAACAGAGCTTGCATCCCTGTCATCGAAAGACTCGTGCCTGCGGTGTGATGGGCTGTCTCTTGAGTCGTTGTAATCATCTCCAGCGTCATTTCTTCGCTTGGACTTCTTGCTTCTCTTGCTGCTAGAACTGGCAACAGAGATTTCAGAGGCCGCCATTGATTGGGTGGGCGAGTCATATTCATAGGGATGGCGCTTCGATCTCTTGGGTCTCTCTTCCTCGTCATCAGATCTTCTGCGATGAGACCTATCTCTTGAACTGTCCCTGGTCCTGTCTCTCGACCTATCTCTTGTTCTATCTCTTGACCGATCTTTTGAGCGGTGGTCTCTAGAACGGCGGTCTCTTGAACGATCTCTGGATCTGTGGTCTCTCGAATGGTCTCTAGATCTGCGGTCGCTTGACCGATGTCTTGAGCGATCCCTCGAACGATCCCTCGACGACTCTCTCCTCGATGATCGTCGATCGTTGGGTTCCAAGGTCGAAGACTCCCGATATCTACCTTCGTCTCGCGACTCACGATCTTTCTTGTGTTTTCTTAAGTGTTTGGAAGAATTGTGCTCGTCGTCTGATCGGATATCCAAGGATGCAACGTCCCTAGACGAATGTCGGTGATGAGAAGGCTCCGCAGGTGCAGAGACACGAGATCTGTCGCCATCGTAGTAGTAGTCGTCATTCGGCTGCTTGCGTAACTCCGCGGGAGAATCACTCATATCAGTGCGAATATCACGAGAAGAGGCGTCTCTTGAACCAGAGGCAATGGCACCTAGGGCAAGGGCAGCAGGCACAGCTACCTTGGCAACATCAGATACACTGATGTCATGGTCGCGACCTTGGTCCTGAGAAATGCTCCGATCATAGTCTGATCTCGACTCATATGGAGCAGGAGCTGAGACACTGGGACTCCACTCATCTTCAAAGTCACGGCCCTTGCGATCCTTCTTGCGACCCTTGTTACTCTTCTTGCGGGAGATATCTTCCCATACCGCCTCGCCTGCTTCACGAGAGGGTTCGGGCTCGGCCCTGCCAGTCTCAATTTTCCCATCGTCTTGAACGACAACAACATCAGACTTTTCTCGCTTGCGCTGTTCTTGTTTACTGGGCCTTGGACTGTCAGATTGGTTGTTGGGAAGTGGCACATCTTCGGGCTTTGGTGCATCTGATCTGATGTTGCGCTCGCTCTCGTAGGGCAGAGCTGTCTTTTCCTGAGGAGTCTCGACCTCTCCAAGGACAAATCCTCGCTCGGGCAAAAGCTTTGGGGCATCGACAGGTTCCGGGGCAACCTCAGCATAAGGTCGCTTATACCAGGCGTTGCCGTTTGATCCGCTGTGGGAATCACCATTTGCTTCCTGGACACCTGGAGGGGAGTCACGTCGACTGTAAGAAGGATCATCGATAACAATATCAGGGTTGAATCCAGTGTCCTTCAATCCAGCAGCAAGTGTAGCGGCAAACTCAAAGTCATCCGCAAAGCGACCAGGCATTTGCTGTGGGCTTGCAGGCTTAGTGCCGACAACGGGAGGAAAGCTGTTCATGTCATCAACATAGAATTCAGCCCGTCGAATAGAAACATCGCTGCTTCCTGCATCAGAGTATGAGTAACCTCCTGGCATTTCGGTTTGTTTTGGGTCGACTTCGACGTCAGGCTCGTTCTGTGGCTCAGCACTGCTACCTGCCAGTGCAGCAGCAAGAATACCCCAGCGGCTTGCCTTGTTCAGCTTGGGTCGAGATTTCTCGACAGCCTTCTCAGAAGGGAAATAGTTGTCATTGTCACTCTTCTCAGGGCTATCGGCATCGAAGCGCTTGGTCTCATTCTCTCCCCAGCTTACGGACTTGGCCGCAGAAGCTGGCTCGCTAACAGAGATGATCTCGCCTTTGGGTCCGATACTGAAATCTTCGGGTTTGGCAACAACTTCAGTAACCTCTGGCTCCTTTCGCGCCTCGGGGGCCGGTGTATGCTGGCGGCTCACGGCAGGGGTAGGGTAGATCAAGTTCAAAAGCGGGCGCTCTCGCGAAACGTTCCTTCTTGAAGGGTTTTCGTCAGGGTTGCGGTACTGGTGTTCTTCTCGAGGATGAATCTTGTTGTCGATTTTCACATCCGCATCAGGACCTTCATAGATGTTCTTCTCCGGGTGCTTGTCCTCCATGACTGGCGGTGTAACAATACTGAACGATTCGTTCTTGCTCTCTTGCCACCTGTCAACCACGGATCGCTCGGGTGAAGCGCTGCGTGATCGCATCTCATCAGAAGCAATTTTTCGGGCGATATTAGTCTCGCGGTAGTATCGATCTGCCTCCTCCTGAACAACATCTTTGCGTCTTCGCGAGGTGTCCTGAGAACTGTCTTCCGAGTAACGACCCTTTCGCCGCTCTTGCGATCGCTCATTTTCAACTGCTACTGCGGATGCGACTGCAGCCGCTGCTACAGGAATAGTGGCGTGCTTGGCCTCGTCGAGAATCGACCTAGCCTTGTGCTCCTCCTCCTCATACTCATGGCCATTTCGGGGGTCGCGGCGTTGCGATGCGCCTTGTGACTCCCGGTAGTCTTCAACCATGCGCTGAATCTCGAAGGAGTCGCGGCGGCTGAGTCGAACATCGGCGGCTGAATCTCTTGGCGGAGAGTCGTCAAAGTTGGGCTCGCGCTCAATAGTAACTACATTAGGTGTAAGGGGTCGTCCGGGGGTAGTAGTTTGAGACATGGTAAAAGCGTCGTCTGAAACCTGATATTGGAAAGGATCAATATCTTGGTGTGCGGACTTGGCCGACTCCGTCACAGCCCGATGGCCTGCACCAGTCGCTAGAGGAAGGTCGCGACCATTTCGTGTGGCCTTGCGCTCGCTGGTCCCAGCCTGGACTGTGGGCTCGCGCTCAAGCTGGAACTCTGGACCGTACTGGATCCCGAATGGTCTCCCCTCGTTCTGGTCCGATTTGGGGGCAACCACTACATCGACATTACTCTTCTCCTTCTTCTCACTTCTATCCTTGGGGGTATCGTCATTATATCGTGAAGATTTTCGCTCATTATTATAATTGGGAATAATAGCCTCGGGTTCCATTTCGCGGTATTCACGTTCCCACTTCATATTTCGTGCACGTTCCTTCTCCAATCGCTCGTGTCGGTCTGCCTCGCTTTCGGGATTTTGCGCCCTGTGTTGTTCTCGCAATTTTTGACGCTCAAGCTCTCTAAGCTTTTGCTCTTCAAGTTCCAGAGCTCTCTGGCGGTCCCGGTCGATTCGGCGTTGATTCTCTCGATCGTCGCGGTCACGCTGCTGTTCGTCACGATGCTCACGACTATCCTTCTTCGACGAAGTGGTCATGGCCACGCCAGCTGCTGCTGCTGCTGCTGCTGCCGCCGCAAGACCACCGGTGGCGACTCCGCTCCAGTCTTTCTCCTCAGGTTGTTCAGATCGTCGCTGACTATGGCTTCTGCGGTTTGCACCATCAACCTTCACAGCATCATAGACCTTTGAAGATATGGGAGTTTTGGGGACCGGTTGTTGCAAGGGGACCGGGGCGGGTCGGGCTGACGGATCTTGTTGTGCGATAGGTGCCGAAAACCGCTCTCCATCGTAACGGTTAGGATCAGAATGCATATCTCGCATGTGAATGGGTGTCCCGTTTCCAAAATTGGCTGAATCACGACGGTATGCCACAGCTTCGTCATCGTTTCGGAACCCACACGGTGTGTTAATTGAGCCTCGCAGCGAGTTGTAGGGTCCAAAAAGACGAGGGTCGACGACAGAGCCCCTATCGCCATGCCTCCGATACTCTGGCGACGAGTCGTAGCCGTAACCAGATTGTCTTCGGGGGCCTGCCATGCCTGCGGCGGCGGCGGCGCTTCCAGCAGCTGCTGCAGCACCGAGTGCAGGCTTGATGGACTCTGCAACGGTCCCATAGGCAAGCTCCGAGTCGGCAGCTGAACCAGCACCATCGCTGCTTGAAGAGTCATCGTCTTCGTCTTCGGAAGCATCTTCCCACTCATCTTCATCATCTGAAGACTGGACACGCTGCTTCAAGCCATTTACCATCCTACCATTCTTCTCTTGGCCATATTGAGAAGCCATAGCGGCGCCGGCGGCGCCAGCTGCAAGTCCTAAGGCGGCCGCTTTACCTTTACCCTTACCTGATGCCTTGCGCGCCTGACGCTGCTCATCCTCCTTGGATAAACGTGCCAGATTAGAGAGCTGCTGGCCAAGAGCCATGATCTCCTCATCGGCAGTCTTCTTTTTCTTAGGGGTTAAACGCGCAGCACGATCAGACCCTCCAGAGCTACGTCGCCGTCCATTGCTAGGGCCAGGGCCGACGCCGGCGGCAGATCCGTAACCCTGGCCAGAAACACGACTTTGACTTCGGGGGCTTAAGGTACGACTCTTAGGTTGTCGCACATAGCCGTTTCCATAAGCCAAATCAGAGTTTACGGAAGAAGAAGAAGAGTTGCCAAAGTAAAGTACACGGCGCTTCTTACTTTTCTTTCGGTGGAGACGCTGTTTAACACGCTCCGAGGGCGCCTTAAAAAATGTGCCAAGTAGGCCACCATACTCCTTCGTATCCTTGAATCGTGAGATATCTAGCAGCGACGTTGATGTGTCGCTGGAGGATGAAAAGACACTCGAAGGTGTTTGCGGCCGTTGCGGGTTCTGTTGTTGCTGGTAAGGACTATTATAACCAGGCATCGATTGAGACGGCGCGCTGTAGTAGGGCTGCTGCTGTTGATGATACTGGTTTTGATACGGATACTGATACTGATACTGCTGTGGTCGTGGTGTAGATACCGAGTTTTGCTGTGGTGACTGTTGATATATTTGGAATTGATCCTGTCTTTGAGGATCATACTGTCGTTGCTGCGTTGGCGATTGTGGTTGTTGTTGTTGGTATGGCGGTTGCTGACGCGAGTACGAGCGTGAGTGTGGTGAGTCTCCCTGATCTCCAGCTCTTGGAGTAAGATCGCGATCGCGAGACTCGTACCACCGGCGACGAGAACCAGAGCCCTCGGGGTCCCGAGAGCGATCGTCTCGCTGCATTGCGCCGGTTTTACGGGTCTACCAACGTTGCGAATTAGTCAGGGTTGATTAAATTTTAAGGATGATGTTTTGATGGTGTTTTGAGTTCGGGAACGGAAACGAGAATGGGGACCTAAGCTCCAGCCTCCAGGCCCTTCTTTCCTATCATGGAGAGCCCCGTTGTACTAAACAAGCGGTGGCTGGGGTCGCACGTCGTTGGTCAAGTTCCCAATTTTAGGCGGGTCCAAGATTCGATCTATGAGGCCCTTTTGCGCTGAGCTGAGGCCTTTGCTTTGCTTTGCTTTGCAATGTCGAGGTAGGCACGGCGACGCAAGAGGGCTGGGCGTCAAATCTGATGCGATCCTCGTAAAGCTTGAATTAGACTACGTGTGTAGGGTATGCACGGTAAAGCGGTACAGATATTAGATAGGCGAGATTCGGTGACGTGGTGGCAAGGTGTGTTGTAGATGTACGTTGTAAGAGTTAAAGAAACAAGCTCAAGGTTCAACAGCCAAGAGTGAGCGTGGTCTGTTATCAAGGGTGTTGGGACTTTAATTAAAAACTGCACCTCGAGCATAATTACTTAGAGGCCTCATTCAGGCCGCCACATATTGGTTAGCGCTGTCATCGTTATCCACTTCTTTAATCCATTACATTGCCAGCTGGCAAGCCATCTATTGTTAGATGAGCAACCACTTCAGCACATGCAACCAATCCGAATAGGTCTACCCTGTATAGTATTAAAAATCAGGGTTGATTCTTATCTGCAGTGCGAGTGTGTGAATGGGTGTTGAAATTGTTGGATGAACACATAATAATAACACACATTTCATTTACAAGCCCCTATTTGATTATATCTCAACTGCCAATATTTCAAGTCAACTGATTCGGTAGTATCAAACTTCCCAAATTGACTTGCCGCCCGTCTCATCATTACACATTAACTAAAATAAATATTGAAATTCATGTGCATAGATTAGCTTGGGAAGAGTTGCATTTATTCATATTTTTTATTATTTATTATTTTTCCATTTTTCATCTCATCATATTTATCTGCAGGTTTACTTACAAGTTACAACACACCATCTCATCCACTACAATATGCAATAAACCCAACCGAGTACAAACCCCAACATACCTCATCAATACATACTGTATTGTACCCTTATATCACCACCTAACGAATTAAGGAATACAACAAGTTCAAGACCATTAATGATGCCTTATGCTACAAACCAAGTATGCTTTGCATTCAGTATCCGCTGACAACCTTAACCTTGACGTGCATCCCTTTAGCGGGCCGGGCCGTTACACCGCCCCGAATTTCCACATTCTTCTCGTCCATCTCCTCCGGATTCGCCAGCGAGAACTCGAAGCGGCCAATCCATGCTGCCAGTAGACAAGCGAACTCTGCCTTTGCAAAGCTTGATCCGATGCAGCTTCGCGGCCCATGCAAGAAGGTCAGGAACGCGTAGTTACTGCTGGCTCCCCCACTTGCGGCCTTGCGATCGGCACCATTTTTGCTCTCTCCGCCTGCTGACAGCCACCGGTCTGGGTTGAACTGATCTGCATCTGGCCCCCAGAGATCGTGGTCGAAATGTGTCGCCCAAGGCACTATGACAATTCGAGTACCACGGCGGATAGGCTGGCCAAGAATTGTTGTGTCATAAGCAGCATCACGCATTGTCAATGGTACAGGTGCGTAATATCGTAGAACTTCACTGCACACGGCGTTCAGATACGGCATGCGATCGATATCGAGGCTGGTAATATCGACATCTGAATCAACTGATGGTAAACTTTCTCGTATTTCTTCTCTGAGCCTGGCCTGAATGTCGCTGTGTCGCGAGAGCATGTAGATCGCCCAAGTCATAGCTGACGCCGTTGTCTCGTGTCCAGCAGCGAGGAATGTCATGAGCTGATCTACCAGGTTCTCGTCAGTGAAGCCGCCGCTCTCAAGGGCAACTGAGAGGATATCAACGTCAGCTTGCTCCTTGTTGGCCATCTTTGCCTTCTTCTCCTGGATCAGGTCTCGACAAATTGCTCGAATATCGCTTGCAGCCTCGGCAATGTCCTCATTTCGACGGAATGGCAGCTTGGTGATGAACTCCATGGGAATGATCATGCCAACGAAAGCTAGGATTTGGGCTTGACGGGACGGCTTAAAGATCTTGCTGTATGTTTGTGCCAGTGTGTTGTCAGGGTTCTGTATGGCGCCAAAGTCTCGTCCCATCCCTGCAAGGCCGATGATGTCGAGTGTTGCCCGTGATGCCCAACCAGAGATTTCCACCTGCGTCTCTTCTTGTTGACCGAACTCTGCCATCATTGTCCGTGTCACTTCTCGAGCTTTGCGCCAGAACACCGGATACAAGTTCTTGATATGACGAAAGGCGAATGCGGGCGTCAAGCTACGGCGCTGCATCTTGTGCTCCTCACCTTCAGCGAGCAAGACACCAACCCCAAGGATGCGGCCGATGGACCATCGAAAGTGACTTGGCTTCGGGAAGGCGTAGCTGTTTGTGACAAGAACCTCAGCCAATGCCTTGGGTGAGCTTACCATGACTCTCTCCTGGTTGAAGAAGCCACGATAACAGATTAACCCGTCATTCGGAATTTCAGAGGCCCTGGGCGTTTCTCTGTCAGCAACCACTTTACACAACAGGATAGAACTTGAGATGGACATCCACTAACCATTGTCGCATTGGTACACCAGAGGGCTCGGCCATTATCTTCTTAGACTGCCCCATGAGCCAATGATTGCCGGAGGGTCCAGGAAGATGTCGTAGTGGCGACACGAGCAAAGGGTATATCCATACTGCCCAGACGACCCAGACAGCGAATCCAGCAATCCAAAGTACGGGAAAGCGACCCAGGAGCTGAGACTTGGACCAATCGTCATGTGCCCAGGCGAGGGTCAGCGTGCTTATGGCAGAAGTCGCCGTGATAATCTCCCATGGCAGGCCCATGATAACGCAAACCCAGGTATTTGCACTCTGAGATGATGGATTGGCAGTCAATTTACGTGTACAATCGTCGAGCAAGTGCAAATATCTGTAACAGGCGAGAGTTGCGCGTCTTAACCCAGACTAAGGGAGTACGGAGACAGGGGAATGGTATATAAGCGATTCGTCTATCTTGCATGTGGTGGGGATGCCCCGAATCTCCAAGACCGTGTGTCTGAGACTGTAGGTTCCAAGACTCGAGTCGTCAGGGACATATGAATGGATGCCTCGGACTCGCAGCGCATGGCCCCGACCCGGCGGTTTACATTGCGCCGTGCCGTTCCAGCTGGCATCATCGATACAATAAACAAGAGGGTCTTGGTTGCGGACCTGCAAGCGCTAGTTCTATTATAGTATCGCTTGCGGAGAATGGGCCAAGCGTTTCATTTAGCCCCACGGAATGAGGTGACTAGGGTCTTGGAAACACTGTTCTGCTATGTGCAATCATTACTTTGTTAACACGCTGACTTGTGTCTTGTCTTTCATTAAGAAAAAAACATCGCTAATTCCGCTACGGTAATAGGTCACCCGTTTAACACTGCAGTGATCCTCCAATCTTGCCCTTGCGCCCCATAAAACCACTTCCAATATCCGACCGTATCCGTAAGTGCGTGGCCCAATAGCCCAGGCAAAAAGCAACCAGAAACGCCTCCCAAATTGTTGTCGACCTTGTGCAATCTCAAAAGCTTGCAGCGAACTCCACTCAAAACCGTGTCATATGCCGTCCTTTATATCTGTGACGCGAGAACTCGTAAATCGTACCCGCCCAGCATGTTACCAGATGCCAGATTATTATGACTCTAAAGAGTCAACAACTCCTGCGTTATTCATCCTATTCCATCGAATGCACCCTGTGGACAAGCTACCACCTCTGATTTGAGTGGTATGGCATATCTGGTGCGGTTTCGTTGTTTCCCAGACCTTCGTAAGGCGAACCAGTCTGCACTTGCAAAGGGTTTCGAAGAGTCCTAGCTCTCGGGCGTTGGTCCTGCGCATCTTGTGAAGGATATGGAGATAGCTCTGGCAAAACCGCGGGAGGCAATTGAATTTCTGCGCTGCGATCTTGGGCTGACGTCGACACTACATTCGCATCCTGAGCGTGACCTCGTCCCCATTCCTGGGGTTGTCTTTCCATTGGCAATTGTTCAGGTTGCGGCCGAATGGAGGGTAGTTCAACAGCAGGCACAGTGGGCTGTCGGGGTGTCTCCATGGAAACTGCTCGGTTGCGGGATTCGGGAATCGATAGAGCATTGTGTGTGTTTGAATTGTCATGACGTGCTCTAGTTCGGCGGTGCTGGTGTTCAACGCCTTCTCTTGGTGGCGATCTTCTTGCTGCTGTTACAGCGTGAGGCGGAGAGCCATTTCGTCGGTCCGCACCTGTAGGGTGAGCTCTGAGATGGGCCAGCACCTCATCCGGCAATTGTTGAGCTGCCAGTCTGTTGAACGCATTAGTTGATTGCTCAAGTGAGCAGTTCATACCAGAATATCTTTACGTACCCGGGATTGATGCCTCTAGATCTCATGAGATTCATGAATGCCCTAGCAGAACTGCCGCCTTGTGTCTTTGGTTCCGCATGAAGCTTGTCTCGACAGTAGGGACAACTATCCGAGTCTTCGAACCATTTCTTGATGCAGTGGTCACCAAAAATGTGTCCGCATTTGGGCAAGCGAAGAGGGGCTTCTTTAACACCCTCAGGAGTCTCTACACAATATTCATTGTAGCAGATAACGCAACCTATAAATTATCAGCCTCCACTTCAGCTCGAACATGAGTCATTTCTCACTTCTGTCTGCTTCCGGCAACTCTTCAAGCTCAACACTCTGAAGTGATCGGAGTGTCATCTTGGAAGCCACCATCTTTGTCGACACGGAGCCTCTTGCGATTTGCATTTGCCGAATAAAGACTTCGTCCGACTCTTGAGAGGAATCCGAGCCACCTGGACTATGGAGTACATAGTCGGGAGGGCCATAGTATCCTTCGTCCTCATCTTCACGCCCGACTTCTGTCGCCATTGGACGTGATGAGGTTGACCTACGCGGTCTCGGATGAGATCTACGGTATCCGGTCGAGGGAGGGGCGGGTCCTAGAGGGAAATATTAGCATCTGCAAGCCGTGCACAAAACACACAGGGCTTCGCAAACTCGCCCCCTGGTGTTACTGGAAGGAAGCATCGACGTATTGGCAACAGAAGGGGACTTACTGTTAGGAGAAGGGATACCGCCAAAACCTCTGGCCGCTATGGAGGCAGTCGAAAAATGGCTTCGTCTTGTTGATACTGGGTAATATGGAAGAGGTGGTTGGGGAGCTGGTGCAAAGCTTGAAAAATATTGGTTGCTGTAGCTGTGTGCGAAGTTTGCTCCAGAGTCGGGATATGCGTAGTTTGGGCGATGCATTGAATTGGCTTCTGGGCCCGGCATAGGTGACTGCCAGTCCATGTGTGTGCCACTTGGGATTTGATTTGCGAAAGCTGTATCATGGCTGTGATTGGCAATGCTTGCAGGTACTGGCGGAACGGCGAGCGGCATGCTGCTGCGATACGACTGAGGATGGCCACCTAACCGTGGTGATATTGGCCCATGCATGCTGCCTGAAAATGGACCAGAAGGGGGCAGGCCTTGAAGAGGTGGTAACATAGCTGCGTGATGGCTATAGGGATCCGGACCAGAGCTGGGCGGAGGCAGTCCAACTTGGTGTGAATAGATGTGAGGCAGGCTCGGGGTTTGTGCTTGCCATGGATAGGGACCTGGGTTCTGTGACTGCGGATGGGATGCCCAATAAGTAGAGGCAGAATGCACTGGATCGTAATGACCACTGGGCCGGTGGTGACCATTTGATGCGATATAATCCATGGGCTCCATCACGGGCAAACTGGTCTAGATCTGACGCGATGTCGGCCTATTCTTGGCTTACTGATAGTGCAAGTCGCTCGCAGAACACAGGCCCACCTGCAGCTTATTGAAGCTACAAAGACGAGCAGTATCGCGGTGGGCAGGTTCGACTTGGCCAGCTCTTGAACAGCACGAAGTTTGAGGGAGAGAGGTTGGCGGAGGACTGATTGCACAAAGGTCCACGTAAGAGATGGATGGATATGTGTATTCGTATTATATCAGTGTTGGACTAGTACTATTGGTAGCACGCTGCAGTCACAGAGCGGTGATCGGGGGACGCAGAAAGGTTGTGGTCATGAGACCATAGTACCCCGGACGCCGAGGCAGGGCAAGCAGACGGATATAGTCAGTCTTTGAAGAGACAGAGTGAGACCGACAGTCAGAATCAGAATCAGAGTGAGAGTGGGAACGTGAGCAAGAGCCAGCGAACGAAAAGTTGGCTGTTGATAAAGCTAGAGAGGACGAGAGCGGCTAGGTTTGAGTATGACTATCAGTATTAATGCGTATGATTTGATTGATGATGAGGGGCAGTCGACTGTTCGTTATCGGATATTTGAGATAACGCCGATGACGACGTAGTTTCAACTCTAGCGGCGGCGTACTGCGACGATACGATGATGAGGCGGGGGTTTGTCTGGCAATTGTGTGGAAGTGTGTTTGCGTCGTCGAAGTCAACCACAGGGTGAGTGAGAGTGGAAGAGGGGAAGAGAAGGAAAAGAAGTCGAAAGATACGGAGGGAGAATATGGCAATAATATGGTGTGGAAGACAGAAGAGTTTTGGTAAGAGAAAAGTAAAGAAAAAGCGAATGCCACGTCTTGTGTGGAAGAAGAGACGAGATGAGACGAGACGAGACTCCCTACAGTGACTAGGACCAGGCAACGGACGGTGGTGATGCTATGGGTTGATTGCAGGGACAGGTCAAGAGAGGCCGGCTTGGTTGGGGTGGAATTAAAATGTACGGTAGGTAGGTAGGTTGGTTGGTAATGGGCTAGGTAAGCTACCGTGCGATGTGCAGTGATGGAAGGTACGATATGGCGTTTTTGTCAGTGTCTTGCACAAGCTGGTTTTGTCAAATCCCGGCTACGGCAAGTAAGGGAAAGATGCCGATCTGGGTTGAACCTGCCTAATATGATACTGTTTAGAATATTGCGTTGAGTTGAGTTCAGTTGAGTCACAGTACAAGACAATAGTAAAGAAAGATACAAGTGTAATTGATTCATAAAAAGGTTTTCACCACCATTGCCTTGCCGAGACACGGCTTCATTAATCATAAGAGTCAAAGGTGGAGATGAGAGGAGAAGCAGAGGTAGCGGCGGCAATGTATTGTAAAAGTGCAGATGCAGGACTGGGCAAATGCAGGCAGGTAGGATATTGGAAGAACCCGGCAAAAGCCTAAGAAGACAGACGAAATGACATTAAGTGGAAGCTCGGCTTCAATGGTGGACGTTTGCAGGCGTACGAGGCGTCTAGGTGGTGTAGCATACCTTAGCACCCAGGTAGCAGGTAATAAAATGAATGCCCGGCCTCACTTGGCTGAGGACGGCACAAGTCACGATACAGGTCAGATTCAGTCTACCGGAAGGGGTGCCTGTAAGAGAGGGGAAAGAAAAAGAGAGGGAGAAAGCCTTGTTTCCCCCAGCCTGGCGCATTTATTTAACTCCAGAGAGGGGGAAAGGATAAGAAGAATGAGCGTGAGAAACCCTGGCAAATACATACCATAGCCGGGCATGTTGCATTGTTGGCAATCGGGTAGTCGCAAGTCGGCGGATGGATATGATGATCAGATTTTCATTTGCATTACATTCAACAACTCAAAATGTGCCGAAAGGCCGACTGCAGGGTCCCTTGTAGCTTGAAGGTAAGAAAGTTATCAATGCGGGACTGCAAGGGAACCGAACTAAACAGGTTGGCGGAGTTATGATAAGCGCAATGGCCGAGAATGGATCATCGGGAACGAGTATCAACATACAAATGCACTTATCCGGAGACTGGGAGACTTAGGTAGGCGGGAGCAAAAGAAATAAATAGTAACAAATGAACAAGTCGCATATGTTTGCATCAACATAAACAACAGACGGGTATTACGTTCGACTCTGATTGTGAACAAAAAAAAACATCCCACTTGGGTATCCCACTACTCGATTCGTACAGTACCTCCACTTCCAAGAACGCAACAAGCCGATCCAAAAGGAGTCATTTCTGATTCATGCCCATAGTTGTGATGGTCATGTGAAAGCAAAAGTCTAGCCGCCAACTCAGCTGCATGCGCAGGGTAAGGAAGAAAGAGGACAAAAAGAAAAGGTCAAAGCCCGAGACGACCGACAACGCAACAGTCACTTTATTAGCCAGTCCATAAAATAGTCCAGGCCCCCAATGGCCAAGGATCATCGATCAAACCAGCGTACTGAGAACCTAGCTCATGGCTTAAGCCCAATGGTCACTAACATCATATTTTCTACGTAGCCTCGGCGTGCACATGATGCGAGGAGGCAGCAGAAGCCATGATGGATGGATGTCATGGTCAAGGCTAATTATTGGACGGTTGGAACATATCCGTCCAAGGATGGAGTTAACTTTAGGTTGTGGGCCTGAGTCCTTAGGTGACTCCACAGTGGAATGCCACTGGAAGAGCTCCGTTGCATTGCTCAACATGGCTTGCTGAACAAACTCTCAGTCACGATTGATGATGGTATCCTCCATATAACAATACTATAGGCTTCAGCTGATCATGTTGAGTATTCGGAAATAAAATAGAGAAAGAATACTTTCCACTTATCTCAATTATAGTCTCTCAGTCTCGGCAAAGATCATAAGTACCTGTCTGAAATTTGAAGAGCACTCCACTAACCTACAACCAAGGTAACTGGACCTATCATATGTCAGAAAATACTCTACAAGGAGTCATGAAGGTACTATAAACAAGTTAAATTTATCAAAATACATAGAGTTAACATACAGTATCCTGCAGTAGCAGACAGACCTCAGCCAGTTACGTAGAACCTTCATTCTTACTAGAAACATGACCCATCATGCGAGTGTCCACCGCATCACATCACATTACCAATGATAGCACACAACACATGAGTCCACATCTACTGGTACCAAGTATAAAGATCTAACCCACTCCATAATTAACTATGTCTCTTAGGTTAAATATGAGAGTGAGTGACCACCAAAACCCGATTACGAAGAGCCATAGTTCGAACTAAACCTAACCGTCGTCAACCTTGCGTTCCTCTAACGTTCGAAACTTCCCAAAAACCCATTCAAGTCTAGCTGCAGGCATTCGATATGTCGCTCAGTACAATAAGCAGGAAACCTACATAACCACATAAGAAGGGTTCTCATTACTTACTACTGACCTATCCAAATGCAGTAACGCCTCCTCTTCACTTAAGTCCGACTGCATCGTTACGTAAAATACATCAGAATAAAGGGGGGAAAAGCCCGATGACCTGTCGTTGATGATCTGCCTATCATAAACTCACATAACATTTGCTTCCCTTTACGAACTCTCCTGCATTAAACGAAGAGGGATAGTTGTTCGGCCCGGGTATCCATGAGTAAATAATTATATACATATGCGTGTTTTCTTGACGGCACAGCCGAGCGGATACCTACCGCAATAGCAAACACAGCACAGCGCAGCATAAAGAAACCTACACAATATAGTATTCCCTGGCAAGCGGCATTACTACTTCAAACAGTCACCGTGTAATTTCCACCTTGCAGATAGTAGAATACTTGAGCAGTCCATCCGAATAAGCGACAAAGTGGCTCAGTAACTACCCGAAACTCTGTCTTTGAAAACACGCAACACAGATAAGCATTTTGAAATACGAGTAATGTGCTCACGGCAACTTTACAGAGCACTATTTTCGTTATTCCATAAGTTAATAAAATTGTAGCAACAACATCTACAATCATGGTATGGCTAAATCTGACTTATGCACTTTTCAACTTGCCCATCTACAACTTAATCGAATCTACAATCTCCGTGCCGTTAGCATATCTGCTGATTACTTAAAGCCTCAACAACTGCAACCACTTTAATCTACAAAACGAATCAAGTCAAGCTCGAGGATGCTGAAAGCATCGTCACACGCAAACATTTCATTCGTCATCTCCCTTGATCAAATATCATTGACAACCGTGCACGCTCGGAGCTGGTTCGTTTTGGCATTTTTGTGCTTATTTCCTATTCTAGTTCTTTGCCGAGACTCGGCTCAATAACTGGGAACAGCGCACAGCTGATACATAAATAGCCATCCCCCAGGCACGACATGTAGGAGGGAGCGTGAAAGCATACGTCAATGCAGAAGCCCTGTGGTTATTTACCAAGCTCGGAAACAGGCCTTGTATTCCCTGCTTTGTCTCATGGTGAGGTAAGGCCTCATTGCTATACCGGACGAGAATAGCGCTACATGTCTTTGTTGCACGCCTCGCCAATGCAAGAGACAGAGGATATTGCCAGAAGATGCAGAACCCTCGCCATTAGGCCATTCGCCGCGGCTCACAACGGCTTCCGTCCGGTCCAGGTTGTTTGTGCATGCTGCAAGCACACGCCTATACCTCCACCAACGCCTCGGAGAAGGTAACACTGCAGATAGGACTCATTTCCTTCCAAGTCCAACAGCTAGAGATCTGGCCACAAGATGTTTGCTTACAACCAGGTATCCGCATCCTGTTTTCATTTCTTGGGCAACCGATACTTCCCCCCAGCTAACTCCAACTTATTCTCCGCCACCTTTTCTGCCAGAAATTCTTGCAGCTCCTCATTGGTCCACGAACAGCCGTCAGGAATCAGCATCTTCATCATCATCAACATCTGGCCAAGCGGCATAGTTGGTGCCGAGTTTGTCAACATGCCCACGATAAACTGCCAGTACACGGTACGCCGCTCCTGCTCCTTTGAATCGATCTTGGGTTTGCGTGGAGACGGTTGGCCACCGTCAGCATCTTGACTATCGTTGAGCGAATCTGATTCTCCTGCCTTGTTTGCGTCGTCAAGTCGCTCCAACACCATGTAGGTTCGATTACCGATATCACGAATCACTCTCTTGGAGACCCAGAATTTGAGGGCAAGCCCAAGAAGATCTTCATCGATCATGAGCTGCTGCCATATCCCGTCAAAAGTCCGCTGTGTAGGACCAGACCCTCCTTCATTGTTTTCATCCTGAAATGCGTAGATGACTGCAGCTTCGTATGTCTTGCACTCGAGCTCCACCGACCGATCTTCAAAGTCGAGTTTGACAGTTGCCGAGCCTAGCTGGTCCAGCCAGTTGAGTTTACGTGATGTTTTGAGCCGTTCGAACCCTTGCTCGTATCTCTTTTGCATTTCTGTGATAGGCGTCGGTACTGCGAACGGCTCCTTGGGAAGACTAGGCCAGAATAGTCGTGATAGGATCTTGGAATGGTACACGGGTGCTCCGGGGTCGTTCAAAGTTTGTCGGATGTTCTTGCCCAGGACTGCATCAACTCTCTTCGAGTCTTGGATATCCTTCATCATGACATCGCAGTTTTGTAGAGCACTCTCACCAAACCGCTTCTTGAGAAGGCTCAATACCTTCGTCTCTTGTAGAAAATTTACCTGATCTGAGAGGAGTCGCTCCGCAATAATCAGCTGGAACTCTTTGATGAAGATGTCCTGAGAACCAAGTGCATTGATGAGAGTGCCAATAACGTCCTCATTTCTCGGTCTCTTGTAGTTCACACCCGCGTCCACAGGGTCAGGAACCCAGGTCATGTCGTTCCAATCAAGATCCTCGTCCTCAACCTGACGCCGTTGTTGTTGGGAGGCCACATTAAGCAGTACTGCTAGCTCCGCCAAATTTGCTTTCCCTTCCTCTGTATCAGCATCACTGGGGTTGGAAAGCAGGCCACCAACAACGATTCGAATAGCATCGTCCCTTTGGCAGAGATACAGCTGTAGAGCGTGAACTACACGGTCAAGAAGGACTTTAGAATGGTCCAAGGCGTGGAATGTACGGATCATGGAGATGTATGTTTGAAGGATATCGGAGGTCGACCTGCCAGGATGAAGAAGCCGCTTCTGTAGAGCTGTGGAGAAAGCGTCAGTCAGTTGTAGACGACGCTGTGGTGTTGTGACGGCGAGACGAAGATCCTCAAGGCCACCTCTACTCTCGGGCCACTTCAATGCAATGTCAAAGAGTTCCTGGATTCGCAGTGTTGCAAGGCGTCCTATCGCGATATTCTTCCAGCACTCTACATCACTCCATGCGATGTGCGTTTCGAGGCGGCTAAAGACTTCGACGGCAAGACGCCCATATTGGTTCTCGACCCATTCTGAAAGATGACCCAGACAACCAGAAGAAATACTAGCGGATGGTGTCGCCGGCTGCGCTGGCACTTCCCAAACCCCTGAGTACGATATTCGAATAAAATCTTTCATGCTGGCATCCATAATTTCTGCAAACAGGACCTGGAACTTTTCTCCCACTAGGCCAACGTTTTTCAGAGATTCCAAGAGACCCAACAACTCTTTGCGAGCCGCCGATTCATCCCCTTGCGACTCTAGGTACAATATAGATCCATCATAACGCTTGCCTGTGCCAAGATTCAGACGGATAAGACGTCGCAGGACATTGGTCAAAGCATCCGTCAGGCCTTGGCATAGAGAATTGCCTATGATAGCATGCAGATCTCGGCGGAATTTTGAGAATGCTGCGTTTGAGGAAGTCTCATCTTCATAGCCTTGTACGATGAGAGTCAAACCCCAGTGATACTGTCTATGAGCTGCCTCAAGAGTTGAGATGCTCGAAAGCAAAACTTGTGTCTGATCGTCCTGACTGGCGCAGGCAGCCAGCAGTGGCATAACATGGTGAACAAAGTGCTGGCGTACTTGATGCGTATGCCATAGTAGAATGTCTTCTGTTTGAGTCGCCCCAGGTAAGAAGCTGCCAGAGTAGAGAAGCAGGGCGATGGAATCACGAACACCCAAGTCGACCTCTTGCGACTCTGGTGGTAAGGTCCCAAAGGAA